GTACATCCAGCTTTAACAACCACATCTCCAGCTAGCCCAGCCACAGGGGAGCAGGGCTAACTCCCCCTGAGAATTAGAGTCCTACAAAGGCAGCGCTAATGCCTTCTGCTGACCTAATTAGTTCTTAAAGAGCCAGCCCCTGGCAGCGTCCTCACGCTGGGGATGAAATCTCAATGGGTTTCCTTGGGGGACTGGCAGACCACAGCCCTGGCATGCAGATGGGGAAACCGAGGCGGAGGGGGTGGGGCGTTTGCTTGGAGTAAAAACAGACTCCAGCTCCGCCCTATGTGGGCTTTTAGGAAGTCCTTGTTGGACTGTAAGGACAATCTACCCAGTTCTGGGGGCCATCTGTCCACCCTTGTATATTGAAGAAGGGCAGGATGACGTGCCGTAGTGAACCCGCACAGAGAAGTGTGGGGACAGCCTGGGTGCTGGGGCTCCATCCAGATGGGCTGGCGGTGCTGTGGGGGAGGGAACCCCAGGGTGGTGGAGGGGGAGCGGGGTGGGGGGGACTGTGGGAGCCCAGGCTGGAGGGGCTGTGGGGGAGGGAACCCCGGGGTGATGGAGGGGGTGGGGGGAACTGTGGGAGCCCAGGCTGGAGGGGCTGTGTATCAGCAGCTGCCCTGGCCACTGGGTATGGGAAGAGGGCCGGGAGCTTGTCCAGATTCCCTGAGGGATGCTTTGCTCTCTGAAGTCAGGCTGGCCGCGCTCCTGCCAGGGGCTCCTGGCTCTGCCACACTCACCTGGCAAATACCTGGGCCTCCACCCCCGAGCCCCCCATCTCCAACCCTGGCTTCTACGAGGGTGGATAGCTTTCACAGGACCCTGGGGAGAATGCCTTCCTGATCTCTGGCCAGGCGTTGATGGCCTTTTGTGCATGTCCTTCCTCCTTCCTTCACTCATCCCTTCCTCCCTCCCTCCGTCCCTGCGTCCCTCTCCTTCCTTCCTTCCTTCCTCCTTCCTTCCTTCCTTCTTTCTTCCTTCCCTCCCCCCTTTCCTTTCCTTTCCTTTCCTTTCCTTTCCTTCACCTTCTCTTGCACTCCCTTCCCTTCCCTCCTTCCCCTCCATCCTTCCCTTCCCTTCCCTTCCTTCCGGGGCTTGAACTCAGGGTCTGAGCTCTGTTCTTTAACCTTTTTACTCAAGGTTGGCACTCACCTGCTTAAGCCACAGCTTCACCTCAGCTTGTTAGGTAAAGAGTCTCAAGAACTTTTCTTCCCAGATTGGCTTTGCACGGCAATCCTCAGATCTCAGTCTTCTGAGTAACTAGGATTACAGGTATGAGCCACTGGTGCCTGGCTACTTCCAGTTGTATGTGTGTGTTTTCCAGTCATGAGGTCTGAACTCTGGGCCTGGGCACTGTCCCTCAGCTCTTCAGCTCAAGGCTAGTGCTCTACCACTTGAGCCACAGCTGGCTTTTTCTGTGTATGTGGTGCCGAGGAATCAAAATCAGGGCCTCGTGCATGCAAGGCAAGCGCTCTACCACTGAGCCACCTTCCCAACCCCTACTTTCAGTTTTTTGACAGTTAATTGGAAACAAGAGTCTCACAGACGTTTCTGCCTGGGCTGGCTTTGAGCTGTAATCATCAGCTCTCAGCCTCCTGAGTAGCTAGGATTACAGGGGTGAGCCCAGCCCCCGGCTTGAAGCCTTTGTTCTTCTTCTTTTTTTCTTTTTTTTGGTGGGTCGTGGGGCTTGAACTCTGGGCCTGGGCGCTGTCCCTCAGCTCTTCAGCTCAAGGCGAGCGCTCTACCACTTGAGCCACAGCACCACTTCCAGTTTTCTGGTGGTTTATTGGAGATAGGAGTCTCATGGTCTCTCCTGCCCGGGCTGGCTTTGAACCGCGATCCTCAGATCTCAGCCTCCTGAGTGGCTAGGATTACAGGGGTGAGCCCAGCCCCTGGCTTGAACCTTTCTTCTGAGAAGGGATTCGCAGCACAGGTTAAATGTGCCCTCCGTCCCCCAGCTTGGGCTCATCTGCCATCTAGCCTCTTCAAGGCCACTTAGGGGCGGGGCTGCTGACTGTGGCCTAGGTGGACTGTGCTAAATTCCTGGGTGCTGCACTGAATTGAAGCAAAGTGGTTTGACAGCTCTGGCAAAGACGCCAGATCTGAGCTTTGCCTGCAGCCCCAGTGTGAGTCCAGCGTGTTTAGTGTGAATCCAGTGTGACCTTGTTAGTACAGTGTGAGCTCAGTGTGAGTCTAGCATGAGCTTGATATGAGTCCAGTGTGAGCTCCAACGTGAGCTCAGTGTGAGCTGGCCCGGCCACCCCTGTGCTTCATAGTGTAACGCCAGGTTCTCAGCCCATTGGGCCTTAGGTCCAGAGCGGGCATGGCCAGAGAGAGGGTTCCAGCAAGTTCCCCGCTGCCTCCATGACCTCTCCCCTCTCCCTGCTGCCCTGTTACTTGACATGCCAGGGATGCCTTTGGTCTCTTCATTCCTTCTCTGTAACAATACACCAGAACCTTTGGAAGCCAGACAAGACAACATTTGAGAGACACAAAGGACCAATGTAAACGCTTGCCTGAACTTTCCAACCTGCTTTCCAAAAGAGGCATTCAGAATCCAAACAGCTCTGAAAACAAACAGGCTGGGCCCTGGAAAATGGGTGTGGACCCTAGCGTATGTCCAGTGTGTCCACTCTCCGGTGGACTCTTTGGGCTCTCTCCAGTTCTCCTTGTCTTTGAAGAAGACAAGAAAACCAAGAGCAAATACAGGTGAGGATAGAGGTGGGGAGAGATGCTCCCAAGCTGTTGACGGACATGTAAATGAGTGCAGCCACTATGGAAATGGATGCAGAGCTCTTCAACTCACTCAATAGATCTTGCTATGACCCCACCATGCCACAAGGGGCGCATATCCAGAGGAGTCTGCAGGTGGACTCCAGACCTAAAAGCTATACACATAGACATGTATCTGTATATAGTTATCCACATAAAACATAACTCCGATTGTGGGACTATTTGATGGGAAGAAGAGAGCAATTGAAGGGGCACCACTTGATTAAAGTAAATGTGTGTGTGTGTGTGATATACCCTTTGTACAATGGTAAAATGGATGACAAGAATGTAAGGCAGGATTTGTAGGGGGGCTGGTACCAGCAGGAGGGAGAGAAGGTGAACAGAGAGGGTGGAAGAGGCAAACATAGGCAAAGAATGCTATGTTTCATGCATTATGGAAATAGAAGAATGGAACCTGCCAGAATTGCTTTAATAAAGAGGGGTCGCGGGGGGTGGGGGGAGGTTGGCTTTGATCAGAGTGCATTGTATGTGTATGTGAAAATACCACAACGAAAACCCCTTGTATAAATAATAGGTACTAATAAAAAATTAAATAAAATGACAGCCAGCTGTTGGTGGCTCACGCCTATGATCCTAGCCACTCAGGAGACTGAAATCTAAGGATTGTGGTTCAAAGACAGCCTGGGCAGGGAAGTCTTTGAGTCTCTTATTTCCAACTAACTACCCCCTCTCCACCAAAAGCAGGAAATGGAGCTATACAAAGTGGCAGAGCATTAGCCTTGAGTGTAAAAGCTCCGGGACAGTGCTCAGGCCCTAAATTCAAGCCATAGTATTTCCCTCCCCCCACCCGCCAAAACAACACAAAAACAAAAGAATTCTCCTTTAAAGTTCATCCAACCAGGACTGCTGGGCAGGGCCCAGATTCCCAGCCAGAGCTTATTTGAGCAACCAAGCAAAGGCTGAGAAAAGACAACTAGCAACTTAACCCATGTTCAAAAAATACTTGATTATTATTATTATTTTGTTGGTTGTGGGGCTTGAACTCTGGGCCTGGGCACTATCCCTGTGCTCTTCGGCTCAAGGCGAGTGCTCTACCATTTGAGCCACAGCGCCACTTCTGGTTTTCTAGTGGTTTATTGGACATACAAGTCTCATGGACTTTCCTGCCTGGGCTGGCTTTGAACCATGATCCTCAGATCTCAGCCTCCTGAATAGCTAGGATTACAGGCATGAGCCACTGGTGCCTGGCTTATTTTTTAACTGGATAGCAATGGCTGTCCCTTCTGGAGAATTCATAACTTCCTAAGAGAAGAAGAACATTCACATGGACCTCTAATGGCGAGGCTCCCCGACCTTTGCTGCGAGCCGTGTCTTTTGTTGATGTTTTATTTTGCTTTTTTTAGGAGTAGAGTTGTGATTGCTGGATATGTAGATGGGTCTCACTTTTTGGGATTCTATCCTCCATAGTCGTCTTTACAAATTCATGTGAGGCTTACATTTTTGTTGGCTGCATAGTATTCTCAACAACAAGCCATCAATGACAGAATCAATTCCCAGTATGGGGCGTATATGTTGTTTTGTCAGTTTAAATAATGGCCTGGGGGGCTTTGTTTTTCAGTGTGCTAGACCTTATGCCCATTCTGAGCTACCTTACTCAATGACACAGGGCTTACTTTGTGCACGGCATCCTGGGAGACTGGAAGATAAGCCAGACACAATCCTTTGTATGAATTACAGATATAAATAACGTTAATCCAGAGCAAGTGATAGCTGCTATTAACGGACAGCTAGAACTGGAGGACAGAAGAGTTTTAGCCTGGAATTGGTGGGATTTTAAGCAAGTTGCACAAGAAAAGTCAGCCTTTGCTTCCACAGCCTAGGGTAAGGCTGACCTAGCAGTCCAGTGGGTGGGGGTGGAGGGCTGCGGTGGGGGAGGGGGATGACCTGTGCCAGGAGAGCAAGCATCACCCAAGACTGACCAATGCGCTGCCAGGAGGGCAATGTGTGTGGGATGGGTGAGAAGCACACTAGTCTGGCCAGCCCCCGCCTGTAACTTTGGAGGAACTTGGGGGTCCTGAGAGCTTAGCTGGGGGGGCGGTGTGTGTCTCTGCAGCCCACAGCAGGCTTACTCTCTGACCCCGCCACAGCAAGAGGTGCCACTGGGAGCTGCGGGAGGGAGTTGGTGGCCGGGCGGGCTGTGGGCTGCCTGGGGCCTCTCTGCAGCCTCTCTGCTTGACCGTGCGAGCCCATCCTCACCCCCGCAGGTGCCATGACGCAGCAGCCCCAGGAGGGCTTCAGCAGGAGCATGGAGGACGCCCAGGAGTGGATGAAGGCCATCCAGGAGCGGCTGCAGATCAATGACAACACCCAGGGGCCCCGCGCTGCGCTGGAGGCCCGGCTGCGGGAGACAGAGGTAAGTGGAGGTCCCGAGGCCCTCTGGGGCCTGTGTCCCCAGCCCCGGCCTCCCTGGCCCCGACCTCCCTGGCCCCGGCCTCCCTGGCTCCGGCCTCCCTGGCCCCGGCCTCCCTGGCCCCGGCGCTGCCCCTTCAGCCCCACGCTTTCCATCTGCTAAGGGAGAGATGCGTTTTTCAAACTCTGAACGATGCACAGATGCCTGGAGATTTTGTTGAAGTGCACAACCTGATTGGGTGTGTTGGGGGCAGGGCCTGAGACTCTTCATTTCTAGCAAATTCCATTGGATACTGTGCTTTGATGGTAAGGACTGGAGCCTGTCCTCTGAACCCCATAGTGAGGTGGATCCCCAGATCTGGATCCTGTGCCTTCTTCCCCTACCCGCCCCCCCCCCCCCCGCCCCAGCCTGGCCTGCCAGCATAGTGCCCCTGGTTGAAGGTGGACTGCCCAAGGCCAGAGGGTAAGGGGGGGAGGTGACCATAGAGCCGGAGACCTGAACTATCATTTCCTTGAGTGCTGGAGTGTGGGGTGACCTCAGGCTCCGTCCCTCTCGGGACCTCAGCTTTCCTGTGTGCATGTGAAGCATTGGCTTTACATATCCAGTAAGAAACTCCATGATTCTGACTCAACGCCTAGCACTAGGAGCTGGTGTGTGGGTGTGCGTGCATACACACACGTGCCCACATGCACAGTACTGGGCTGCTCACTCTTGCTTGGCTTTTTTACTCAAGGCTGGTACTCTACCACTTGAGCCACACTACTTCCAGGTTTTTGCTGGTTAATTAGAGAGAAGAGTCTCAGGGGCTTTTCTGCTTCAGCTGGCTTCAAACCATGCTCTTCAGATCTCAGGCTCCTAAGTAGCTAGGATTATAGGTGTGAGCCACTGGCAACTAGTTTCAATAGGATGTGTGTGTGTGTGTGTGCGCACGCATGTGTGCATGTGTGCATGCATGTGCCTGTTCTGGAGCTTGAACTCAGGCCCCCGGTGCTGTGCTTGAGCTTTTTTTGCTCAAAGCTAGGGCTCTAGCCTTGAGCATACCTCTACTTCTGGCTTTTTTGGTGGCCAATTGGAGCTAAGAGTCTCAGATCCTCAGGTCTCAGCTTCCTGAATAGCTGGGATTATGGGTGTGAGCCACCAGCGCCCGGCTCCAACATGACTTGAAAAAAAATTACGAGGTGAGGTTGACACAGTGGGGGTGGTCCCGCTGTCTCAGGGAAGGAAAGGGGGGTGCGGGGTTGACTGATCTGCCTGGGGTCACAGCTGTTGGGTTGCAGCATCTGACACGTCAGAAGCCTCCCACCCTATCTGCAGAGAAAGGTCAGACAGACAACCAGGCCCCGGCGTCAGCGTGAGGAATGTGACCGCCGGCAGCTGAGCTGGAGGTGCAGGCACACGAGTGCTCAGTGGGTACAAAGCGAGTAAGTGAAAGGTCACTGTGGGCTGTTAGTGACAGCCAGAGGCACAGTGTCAGCCAGCCTGTGCTCCCCGCCGCCTCCTGACATCTGACCCCCGGTCACCAGAACCACGACCTCCTTCCACTGACCTGGAGTTCTCAAGCCACAAAGGTCATGCAGGGCGAGGGAGTGGCGCTGGAGTTGTTTAGTTGTGTTTGACTGCAGACACTGAGCAACTGAGCTGCTGGCCAGGAGTGGGAAAGCAGTAATTCTAGCTACTCAGGAGGCTGAGATCCGAGGGCCTGGGTTCGAGGCCAGCCGGGGCAGGGGAGTTTGTGAGACTCCTATCTCTAATTAATCACTAGAAAACCAGCAGTGGCGCTGTCGGTCAACGTGGTAGAGCGCTAGCTTTGAGCAGAAAAGCTAAGGGACATTGCCTGGGCCCTAGTTCAAGCCCCAGGACCAGCACTAAAAATTAAAATAAGAGCGAATGGCAGCTAGAGGGCCCCACCTGCCCCAGGTCAAGTGGACAGCTTGGTCCTCCACAGAGCCCAGCCCAGGTGAGATGAGAGATGCCAGGTGCGTGTTAGGGGACACGTTCACGAGAGAAGGGAGCGGGGAGCGGGAGCCACAGGAGAGGCAGGGCCCTGGCCAGGTGCCTCCTGGAGGCTCAGGGAATTGGGTGAGGCTCTGAGGTCCCCTGAGCTAGCCATCCACCACAGGCCCCCAAAGCCTCCCAGGATCTGTCCCCGGGGGAACAGCTTTGCACAAATCCACTCATAGAGTTGAGTCCACTGATGCACTTTCTTTGTTTAATTTTCATCTAATTATCTTTTTTTTTTTTGTCAGTTGTGGGGCTTGAACTCTGGGCCTGGGCACTGTTTCTGAGCTCTTCAGCACAAGTCAAGTGCTCTACCACTTGAGCCACAGCGCCACTTTGGGTTTTCTAGTGGTTTATTGGAGGAAGTGTCTCACAGATGTTCCTGCTTGGGCTAGCTTTGAACCATGATCCTCAGGGCTCAGCCTTCTGAGTAGCTAGGATGACAGGTGTGAGCCCCCGGCGCCTGGCTTAATTTAATTATCTTTGAGTAGTTGTGTAAAGAGGTTTCAATTCAGCAAGTCTGCTTAGAGTACAGTGCATCTGGACGCGAGTGCTACTCCCTCCCTGGTGCCTCCCACCCGCCCATCCCCTCAAGTCTCCTGGTGCACATGTGCACGTTGAGTATTCTGACTGTCTTTGCCCACCCTTCCTCTCTCCCTTCGCCGAGGGGTAGGTAGTATTAATCCCGCGGTGACATGAATGAGAAGCGCATGGAAGACGTCTGATCTGGCAGGGAGGTTGGCTGTGTTCTCAGGGCAGGCCGGGCTGCGTGGGGCTGACCCCCAGGCCTCCATCTTCCCCTCCGCAGGCTGCCCCCCTGGCCTGGAAGCGGGGCTGCAGGCTGTAATCTGAGGGAATCCAGGTCCCCCTCCCCAGAAGGCCTGGCTAGTCCTCCCCAGGCCATGTCTGCTTGGGTGTTGCCTAACCTCGGGAAACTGGCCTTCATGTCCACACAGAAAATCTGCCGGATGGAGCCCGAGGGCCGCGTGAAGGTGGACCTGGTGCTGCAGGCGGCCGAAGCCCTCCTGGCATGTTGCCTTGAGGACCAGAAGCCCGAGATCCTGGCCCAGCTGAGGGACATCAAGGCCCAGTGGGAGGAGACGGTCACCTATATGACTCACTGCCACAGGTAGGGCAGCCCCGTGAAGCCGTGCCAGGCCTGTGTCTGCAGTGCCTGCCGGGTAACCTGTTCCCAAGGGACCTCAGCCCAAGGGACAGCTCTCCAGTCGTAGGATCCCCAGGAACTGGAGCCCAGCCTGACTCTTTCTAATTACCATTGATGTTCATAAGATATGGTTCCAGTGTTCCAGCCATTGCGTCTGGCCAGCAAGTCCTAATAGGTCCAGCACCAAGGCAGGCTAGCTTTGGCATACGAAGGTTTCCCCTGTGAGCACTTTAGCCAGGGTCTCTCTCTGCCAGGACCCAAGAGCCAGGCTGTGGGAGAGATAGAGACTCAGACACACCCAGCGTTGATTCCTGCTCTGCTACTTGCTGTGCAGCCATGGGGAAGCTGCTTGATCTCTCTGAGCCTCAGTTGCTTCCTCTGGTCCAGGAGGGTAATCCAGTGCTCCCTGAAGGTCGTTAGAGGAATGGCAGCAGGGACCGTGCTGTGCGTGGTACGGGTGGTGCTGAGGAAGCTGGAGCAATGGCTTCCTCTCCATCATAAAGCAGGAGTGAGCCTGGACGGGCACAGGCTGCACAGAGCTCATTGTCCTGTAGACCCTTTTGCCTGAAATTCTAAACAGGATGGCTTGATGTTGGTCAGAGAGAAAGCCATGTCCATGTTGTACATGGGGAAACTGAGGCAAGCGACAAGGCAGTTATCCTGCGAGTTTATGCTCCCCCCTCCATCTTCTGCCCTCAGCTGGCAGGCACGAACCAACCCACAGATACCATTGTGCTCTGTGCATTAGTAGGCATGGTTCTGGGATGGTCTTCTGTAGGCAGCATGTGCAAAGGGCCTGGGGCTACTGAGTACAGAGTTCTAACACTAGGCAGAAGTGGTTGGAGGAATCTGTGCACCGGCTGTGGGGATTCAGGGCTAGAATTTGGTCCTGGTGGCTTGGGGCTGCCTGAGCTGCTGGATTATAGGGTGAGCTGAGGAGCAGCCTCACCTGGGAGCTTACACACAGGATGCAGGGGGTCTCATCCTGTAGAGCTCAGGAAGGGTCTAGAACCCAGTGGCACTTGTCACAGAGAGAGAGCACCATCCTGCCCCTGTCACACAGCCCCTGGCTCTGGAGTGGGTCAGCGGCGGGGCTGACTCCCTGACGGCTTTGTCCCCGCGCCCACAGCCGCATCGAGTGGGTGTGGCTGCACTGGAGCGAGTACCTGCTGGCCCGAGATGAGTTCTACCACTGGTTCCAGAAGATGACAGTCACGCTGGAGCCCCCGGCGGAGCTGCAGCTGGGCCTGAAGGAGAAGCAGTGGCAGCTGAGCCACGCCCAGGTGCTGCTGCACAACGTGGACAACCAGGCCGTGCTGCTGGACCGGCTGCTGGAGGAGGCGGCCTCACTGTTCAACAGGATTGGGGACCCCAGCGTGGACGGAGAGGCCCAGAAGAGGATGAAGGCCGACTACGACGCCGTGAAGGCCAGAGCCCAGGTGAGGCCTGGAGGATGGGTCTGTACCCAGCTACCCGCTGCCTGCCTCGCCCAACCCTCCACCGTGTGCCGGCGCCAAACCCCCGCCTGCTGTCCATCGTGACCCCATCCACTCAGCCCTTCACTGCCTACATACCCACCACACTGATCTACTTGTCATCTGTCTACCACCCATCCGTCCACCCATCTATCCATCTACCTATCCATCCATGCATCCATGCATCTACCCATCCATCTATCCATCTACCTATCCATCCATCCATGCATCCATTCATCCATCCCTGTCACACATCTACCTACCTACATCCATGCATGCATGCATGCATCCATCCACTCACCCATCCACCACCCATCCACCCATCCATCTATCCATCTACCTACCCATGCATCCACCCATCCATCCATCCACCTACCTATCCATCCATGCATCCATTCATCCATCCATCCATCAATACCTGTCACACATCTACCTACCTACCATCCATCCATCCATCTACCCATCCATCCATGCATCCACCTATCCTTAGTACCTGTCACACATCTACCTACCTACCTACTTATCATCCATCCATCTACCTATCACCCATTCACCACTCACCTACTTTATTATCTACTGTCCATTAAGTCGTCCATCCATCCATCTACCTATCTGCCATCCCTCTGTCCACTTACCCTTCTATCTACTGGCTACCCATAAATTCATTCATCTACCTGTCAATCACCCATCCATCTACCCCCCCCCCCACCATCCATCTACCTGTCCACTCACTCTCCACCTCCCACCTACCCTCCCAGCCATCAGCCTACCTTCTCATTGCTGTCCAACATTCCCCTCACCCACTTGCCTACTCAGTCCTCTATAGGAGAATCTATCTTTTCTACTCATCTGTTTTCTTATTCATCTACCTCCCCACAAAAACAATCTTTTACTTAGCTATTCAGCCACTTAACCACCTACCCACCCATCCATTTACCTGCCCATCATCTTACCCACTTGTTTACCCACCCATCTGCTCATCCATTCTGTCTGTGTACTGCGTCACCCACCCACCTCTCACCATTTCCTGTCTAACCCATTTGTGTAACCCATCACCTCCCTACCTATTTGCTAACCGTCCACCCACCTGTGCATCCACACAGCCTCCTACTGTTCACATGGAGGGTTGCTACGGGCTTAGCACACTTCCTGCACATGTGCTGACTGCTCGCTCATGGACTGTGATGTCCATTTTCACCCAGCAGCTTCCCTCCCGAACGCCTTCTGTCGCTCTCCCTGCCTCCTCCTCACTTCCCAGGTCTTCTCCTTCGGCTCTCCTCTGGCCCCTCTAACCTGTCCTGCTCTGCCCTCACTTGGCCCTGCCCCAGCCCTCTGACAGTCTCTGTGTTCATACCTCACCTCATCCTGGCCTCGAGTCTGAAGCAGTTTGTTGAATTAGTAGATTCAATTATTGTTTTTGTAGAAACAATATTTGATTGTTTCCTATGAGTACCTATCCTTTTATTTATTTATCTATCTATCTATCTTTATTTGTCAGTCAGGGGGCTTGAACTCTGGACCTGGGCGCTGTCCCTGAGCTATTCTGCTCAAGGCGACCGCTCTACCACTTGAGCCACAGTGCCACTCGGCTTTTTTGTGTTTGTGGTACTGAGGAATTGAACTTGGGGCTTCATGCATGCTAGGCAAGCATTCTACTACTAGGCCACATCCCTAGACCTACCCTTTTGTTTTAAAGTAACGTCTTTGTGCCTTAATGTTTGCATTCTTCCTGGATCCGGACTGCATGCGCGGTCTTTATAAGCACACGTGTTAGAGTCTCTGCCAGCTGTGGAGGAGCTGGCGCTCTAGGGTCTGTCTGATGGTGGCTGTGTCTCCTTGGAGGACTTTGTGAGCCCACCGTGTACCCTGCCCTCAGCAGGGCTCATGTTTGTCGCCTTCATTGCTGTTCCTTTGTTTCCTGAATCAAAACAAGTTGTTTAGGCTTGAACCCTGAACCCCCCGGCCAGGCTATGTATCAGCCCTTTGGTGATACATGCTGGAAAGTGACTGGTTTTGTTTGTTTGTTTTTGTGCCAGTACAGGGTTGAACTCGGCCTCAGGTTCTTTTTGAGCTTTTTCACTCAAGGCTAGCACTTTACCATGAGCCACTTCCTGCTTTTTATTGGTTAATTGGAGCTAAGAGTCTCCCTCAGATTCGACTGCCCAGAATGGCTTTGAACCTCGATCCTCGGATCTCAGCCTCCTGAGTAGCCAGGATTACAGATGTGAGCCACTGGCGCCTGGCTCCAGGCTTCCTTTTGATACTGTGGCTGACAGCGGCCAGGGCAGCCTCTCCAGGGCGCTGCCTCTCTGCAAGGTGGAAGTCAGTCCATTCCCACTGCAGCCCCGTGGCCCAGCCCGGCTTCTAACTCCCAGGAGGCTGGCACAGTGCACGTTTAATGGGCTGTGAGCATGTTGCAATCCAACAGCACCCACCCGCTCTCCCTTCCTTCCTGTGGTGGCCTATCTCTTGGGCTAGACTGGAGGATTCCTAGTTCCCAGCAACTTACAGGAAAGCGGTTGTGTAATCAACAGAGAAAGGAATCCATCAGGAGAAGATTCTGGTCCTGAATTAGGAAAGAACTGGGTTCAAAGCCAGGCTCCATTGCTTCCTCCCAGTGTGGCCTTGGGGTGTCCCACCCTGCCATGGCCAGGTTCCAGGGGCTGGAGGAGTTCTGCGCGTGCGTTTCCAACATAGAGGAAGTTCTCTCCTTCCAGTAGCCATGAGAATAAATAGAAACTGCATTTGTCTGTGTTTGACATACGGCAGGTGCTCGGAACTATTTATCAAAAGAAGGAAGGCTCACCCCTGGATGGGAGCCATCTGCCCCGCCCCACCCCACCCCAGGCCCGAGGCAGGAGATGTCCCAGCCCACACAGCTGCAGAAGCTCTAGGTTTCTCTAGGCCTGTCTCTCAGGCCTGGGAGAGGCCCCACAGCCCCTCCCTGGTGACTTGATGGAAGACAGGGGCCTGTGCCAATTAACAGTCCGGAGCAGGTGCAGGGAGCAGAGGAAGGTGGCAGTCAGGAGGCATGCGTGGAGGGGTAGAGGCTGGCTCTTGTGATTTCTATGGTGTCCAGAGCTCAGGGTTTCAGGGTGAAATGATAATGAAGCACTCTTTGGTGATCATTGCTTGCCTGAACTGCCTGACACCCAGAAGTGGTCTCCACCCGGCCTTACCGGCCACCACATGGAAATGGAGAGCTGTTGCACGTGGGTTGATCCAGATCCTGCATCTAGATGTGAATCCACTTGGCTGTTTTTGGCCACAGGGGTGAGGGGGAGACGGAGGGACCTCAGCCACTTTGAAGTCTCTCACAGGATGTGTGCGTGTGCTTTTCCGAGCCAGAGCCTCTGATAGATTCCCAGCATGCACCGGGACCTTGGGAAAGTGGAGAAGCTTCTGGACTAGGGTGGACTGTGTGCCATGTGGCAAGAGATGGGGGCTTCTACAGGGCCTCGTGGGTGCAGTGTGACTTAGCCCCAGACAACAACCTCTTGGGCACGGCCAGCCTTTCGACCCTGGAGGAGGAAAAGCACTGGCTTCCTCTCAGGCATCAGGAAATAGGGGGAGTGGTTCCCGTTCAGTGGCCCCCCCAAAGATCGTCTATGGCCCAGATTCCCCTTGGACACCTGTCCTGCACCCTGGGTGAAGACCTCTCCTTGCACAAAAGACTCTGGCCTGGCAGAGCTACCCCAGCGACCAAGCATTCCTGGAGTGGGCAGCTGGGAATCTTGCTGGGGTCCAGACCTTGCCCCGGGCAGGGAGGTTCATTCAGCACACTGTATTTGCTGACATCTTTAACTCATGCAAGTCTGTTTCCAACAGTCATGTCCAACAGGCCCTGTTCCATCTAGAAAAATCTGTTTTCATATACATCCAGCATGTGAATTAGCAAAAGCTTCTGGCATTGGTGTGGATGGGACCCTACCCCATTCCTTTGTCCTAAACCCTGGCGGGGTGGGGGTAGAGGGTGGGATAGGGACGATTCTTGGCCAGGGTTCCAGGCCTAGCCTAGAAGTAAGCAGTATGGCCATGCAAATCATCACAAGGGGAAGGCCAGCATCCCAGGTAGGCTGGTACCAGGAATGTCTGCTAGTTTTCCCCTTCCCTCCCCTCCCTCCCCTTCCCTCCCCTCCCCTCCCCTCCCCTCCCCTACCTCCCCTTCCCTTCCCTATCCTGAGGCTTGAACTCAGGACCTGGGTGCTTTCCCTGAGCTTCTTTGTGCTCACAGCCTACTACTCTACCACTTGAGCCACAGCACCACTTCCAGCTTTTTCTGAGTAGTTTATTGGGGATAAAAGCCACAAGGACTTTCTGTCCTGGCTGGCTTTGAACTGAGATCCTCAGATCTCAGCCTCCTGAGTAGTTAGGATTACAGGCGTGAGCCTCCAGCGCCCTGTTAGCTGGTTAATATTTAACCCACGGCTTCTGTTTTCTAAAGCGCCAGGCTAACAGCAGCGTCCTGGGCTCCAGCCCGGAGAGAAGGGGAGTTTGGCTTCTCGCCATGGTCGATGCATCCTTTGCAGGGACATAAATCCAGGCTGCCCTTGTTAATGGCTTGCGTTGTGACATTTCTGACAAGCGCTCCCACTACAGATGGCTTCATTGTTTGGTTTAATGAGCAGGTGGGGCGTTCTCCCATCCGTCAGCGCTGTCACCCTCTCCTGGGACGGCACTCGCTGTTGGCCGTGCCTGGCACACATCTCTTGTGGATGGCTGCCCGCCGCCAGTCCTCACAAGCGCCTGCTTCCGATCACGGACAGTTTGTTTACTCTCTGCTGCCCTGGGTGGCAGCACCTCATCATTCACACGCACACACAGTCTCCGCAGGCCTCTCCTAACCCAACAAGCTCCACACAGCCCGTCCAGGGGTGGGGCGGGGCAGGGCATGGTTTCCCAGGGTTCTGTTGGAGGTTGACCCTCAGGATCGAAGGGTGGGGGGGACCTGCAGGAATGGGAGGGGCTAGAACATGGATTTGAGGACCACTGGGCAGAGATGCAAAGGCATTGCCCTGATCAGGGGTCCTCTTCTGCTGCAAGCAGTACTGCAGAGAGACTTCTGAGCACTTCCTGGAAGGGCCTGGTCTAATTCTTTGCTTCCACTTGTCAGGTGGAGAGCTCCTCTCCCACTTGCTGTTGCTGCTGCAGAGGTTTAAGTGAGTTACTATTAGATTTTTTTTCCCCCAGCTGTGGGAGCTGAACTCTGGGCCTGGGTAGCTAGCACTCTACCACTTGAGCCACAGCGCCACTTCTGGCTTTTTTCTGCTTATGTGGTGCTGAGAAATTGAACCCAGAGCCTCATGCATGCAAGGCAAGCACTCTACCACTGAGCTATCTTCCTAGCCCTGACTGTTAATAGATTTTGAAGAGAGGCAGCATATATAAGTAGCTAGGAAAAGTTTTAAGATCATTTATCTGTCTGCTTTATATTCCAGAGAACTTGTGTGTGTGTGTATGTGTGTATGTAGTATGTGCATATGTGTGCGCATGTGCATATACATGTGTGTGTACATGCCAGCACTAAGGTTTGAACTCAGGGCCTTGCATTCTTGCTTGAGTTTTTCTGTTCACAGCTGGTGATCTAACACTTGAGCTACTCCTCTGCTTCTGGCTTTTTGCTGGCTAGTTAAGAGATGAGTCTCTGGGCTGGCTTTGGGCCTTGATCCTCAGATCTCAGCTTTCTGAACTTGGTAAAAAGTACATTAGGGCTCATGTGTCAAGTTCATGTCTGAATGGGGGCCAGGGGACAGAAACTGAGAGCTGAATAATACATGTCTCATGTCAAAGTGACATGAAGTCCAAGAGTCCCCAGGGAAGGGTGACGGAGCAGGGCCATCCTGTGCGCAGTGTCCACAGAGCCTAATGTGCCAGCTGCGGTGCACACAGCGCCCTCTGGAAACTGCTGCTGCAGAATCTGAACGTGGAGGAGCCAAGCGTCCCCCTGTGGCCCTCTAGGGGCGTGGTCTGCAAAGCCCCAGCCTGAGCAGTGACTGTGTGTCTACTCTTGCCGGGGACTCACATTTGCTGTGTGAATCTCAGCCCTGTGGGTGCGGCCAGCGTTCCGGGATCTGCGTCCTTCAGGGCAAAGACTGTGGGATTGTAAGTGTGAGGTAGCAGTCCACATCAGCCACGTGGAAGTACTTGTCCACCGAGGCCCCTCCCTCAGCACAAACCCCCTCTGAACTCAACTTCCATTGCTGTGGCAAAATACCTGCCGAAAACAACTTTTCTTTAAAGTTTCTGGGAAACAGATTCATAGGGCCCAGACTGGCCATTGACTTCAGTTATCTCAGTCTCTGGAGTAGCTGGGATTATAGGTATGAGCCACCTGACCCTGTTTTTTGTTTGATTTTTTTAAAAAAAGATTTTTATTGTTATTATAATGGTGATGTATACAGGGGTTACAGTAACATAAGTCAGATAAAGATTACATTTTTTCAGAGGGAACAATGTCATCCTTTCCCTTGCTCTCTCCCAGTTTTTCTCTCCCTGTTACTTGATTGTTTTTATGCCAGTGCTAGCTTGAACTCACTGTTCCTGAGCATTTTTGCTCAAGGCTGGCACTCTACCACTTGAGTCACAGCGCCACTTCAGGCTTTTTCTGTGTATGTGGTACTGAGGAATCGAACCCAGGGTTTCATGCATGTTAGGCAAGCACTCTACCACTAAGCCTCATTCCTGGTCTACCCTATAAGGTTTTGAACACCAAGATTCAAGGTTTTCGCTTGGGCTTGGTGCCAGGGGGAGCCATAGTTGTAGGGCTCTAGGGAGGCAGCACTGGCATGGGTGGTTTGTGAATTAATCTCTAGGAACAGTGAGTGAGGCTTACAGCAGGGACAGTCTCTCCCTCAGATGCCCTCTACCCTCGAGACACCAACCTGGGTGGTTTGGCCTGCAGTGGGACTGGTTGGGAATGGCGAAGACTCTCACTATGCAGGGAGGGAGCATCGCCATGTTCATGGAATGGCCTGCCAATTGTGGCTAACCCTGCAGCCGCTGCTGTGGACGGAGCGAGAGGCACCCGTGCACCTGGCCTTGCATTTCAGCCTGTGCTGGTCCAGCAGCCTTGGGCCAGTCACGTCACCTCTAGGAGGCTGGGTGTCGCTAAGCCGGGATCCTAATGGGAAGCTACCATAGGTGGTCAGGAGATTCAAGGAGTTGTGTGTGGAAAATCTACCATGGTGAAGACTCTGCAGGCCGGTGCTCCGGGCAGTGTTGTCATTGTAGTTGTATTCACACCCCATTCGAGTGCCACTCCTTGGACACGAGAAAAAATGCCAGCTGTAGTGAAGGCAGATGCCAGGGTCAGCATCTGGGCCTTCAAACCCATCTCCTGACATGGTGCTACTAAAGAACACCTCTCAGTTTCTACTGCCAGGACTGAATGTGGGCTGTTCCCCCCCCCCCCCCCCCCATCCACACAGATGTAGCAGGCTGGCACCGCTGGCTCTGAAGGCTCACGGCAGTTGTCTCTTGCCCTTAGGAGCGGGTGGACTTACTGGCCAGCATTGCCCAGGAGCATGAGCAGTACCAGGCCAGTGTGGACAAGTTCCAGCTGTGGCTGAAGGCAGTGGTGGAGAAGGTTCACAGCTGCCTGGGACGGAACTCCCAGCTGACCACAGAGCTCCGCCTGGCTGCCCTGCAGGTTAGTCCTTCTAGTCCTAACCAGAGCCCCAGCACTGCCCGAAGCCTGCAGCGCCCAGGCTCAAGTTCCTTCCTTCAGTCAGTCAGTTTTTGTGCCAGTCCTGGGGCTTGAATTTAGGGCCAGGGTGCTGTCTCTGAGCTTTTGTCCTCAAGACTAGAACTCTACCACTTGAGCCACAGCTCCTCTTGTGGCTTTTTTTGGTGGCTCATTGGAGATGAGAGTCTCATGGGCTTTTTTACCTGGGCTGGCTTTGAACCATAATCCTCGGCCTAATAAGTAGCTAGGATTATAGGTGTGAGATGCCTAGCCCTAGTTTCTATTTAAGTGTTGACTGCCAATGGCTCTAAGCCTGTTTGTTTAAAAGGAAAAATTTTAAACTGCCAGGAGGCCAGGGATTGGTGGCTCACACTGGCAATATAGCTACACAGAAGGCTGAGATCTGAGGATCCAGGCTTAGAAGCTAGCCCAGGCAGAAAAGTCTACGAAACTCTTTTTCCAATGAACCATCAAAAAGCCGGAAGTTAGAGGTATGGGCTGAAGCGGTTGAGTGCCAGCCTTGAACAAAAAAACCAAGCAAGAGTGTGAGGCCCTGGGTTTAAGCCTCAGTACTGGCACAAAAATATAAAGGAAGAAAAAGAAGAAATGCTAGGAAATGCTGAAGACAACAGAAGACTTGCTTCTTGACTTAATCAAATGGCTTGACGAGAAAAGGAAGCCCGTGTGTGGCTCAGCCGGTGGCCCTGCCTTGGGCAGCTGGTAGGCTTCCGGGCTCAGGAATCTGGGAATCAGTCCTATACCTGCCTTCTGGATCCGGAATGTGCAACACACATTTGCTTTTTCCTTTTAATTTAACTAATTTATTTTTGCCAGTCCCGGGGCTTGAACTCAGGGCCTGGGTGCTGTCCCTGAGCCTCTTTGTGCTCAAGACTAGTGCTCTACCGCTTGAGCCACAGTACCACTTCCAGCTTTTTCTGAGTAGTTTATTGGAGATAAGAGTTTCACAGACTTTCCTGCTCAGGCTGGCTTTGAACCATGATCCTCAGATCTCAGCCTCCTGAGTAGCTAAGATTACAGGTGTGAGCCACAGGTGCCCTGCTCACATTTGCTTTTTCTCCCCCCCCCATGTCCCCTCCCCTCCTACTCCCTCTCGCCCCCCGCAGGACATTGCCAAGGATTTCCCCAGGGGTGAAGAGGCTCTGGCGAGGCTGGAGGAGCAGGTGCCGGCTGTCATTGGGAACACCTCTCCCCTGGGTGCGGAGAGACTCACGGCTGAACTGGAGGAGATGCGGATGGTTCTGGAGAAGCTGCAGGTGCTCTGGCAGGAGGAGGATGGGCGGCTCCAGGGCCTGCTGCGGTCCCAGGGCGCCTGCCAGCAGCGCATCCGGCAGCTGGAAGCCGAGCTCCGGGAGTTCAGGCAGAGCCTTGAGCGGCTGGGCCAGCAGGGCCTGGAGCCCGTGGTGCCCGGGGCCACGGAGGACCAGCTGGTGGCTCACTGGAGGCGCTGCTCGGTAAGCAGCGGTTGGCCCCTGCCCGGGGGGAAACAGTCAAGATGGGGCCTGTCCACACTTTTCAATGAGGGGACAAGGTTCATGGCGGGTAGAAGAGCAAGGCCAGAGGAAGCACAGGACTGCAGGCGAGGGCCTCAGAGCCCGTCCCTGGCCGGTGGCGAGATGAGGGGTAGACTTCCTTGGAAGGGATTTGGAATGTTGGGCCAGAAGGAACGCGTCATAGAGAGATGCATGTGGGGGTGCTGAGCCAAGGATGCCTGTGATGAGGGGGGCCCCGGGGAGGCCTGGACCCAGACACCCAGTCAGAGGACACCCCATCCTGTCCACTCCAGAGATGACCTACATTCATGGTAGGTCATCTACCATGACCTACTATGAAATACTAGAAATACTATGAAATACCATGAAATACTATAGACAATTCACTTACAAAGAGTGAAGGTTTTGGCTCAGGGTCCTGGAGGCTCTGGTCTGGGATTTGCATTTTCTTGGGCCTATCATGAGGCAGGAAGCAGAATAACCCTGGGACATTCAGGCCCTAGGGGCCCCTTCAGCCCCACCCCCACCCCCAGAGAGCCAGGGACGTCCCTAAGGGGACAGAAGTTCATGGACCTCCCAACAGCGCTACTGCTGAGACCAGCATGTGGGTGTTTGTGGGGACACTCAGGGGGTGACTCGTGGATCAGCACCCCTCCTCCACTCCTCGCCTTTGGTTATTTCCATGAAAGAAGTGGTTTAGAGAAAAATCATCCCATCTCCCTTCCTCTCCACCACTCTTGAATTTCCTCTCTTCCTTTGAATCTTCACCTTTATGCACAATATCTGTGTTGAGAGAGTGCGTGTAAGTGCTCACTCTGTGGTCTCTCTTTCTCTCTCCCTCTCTCTCCTTCTTTCTCCCTCTCTCTTCCTCTCTCTCCCTCTCCCCAGTCCTGGGGCTTGAACTCTGGGCCTGGGCACTGTCCCTGAGCTTCTCTGTGCTCAAGACTAGCACTCTACCACTTGAGCCACAGCACCACTTCCAGCTTTTCTATTTATGGTACTGAGGAATCGAACCCGGGGCTTCATGCATGCTAGGCAAGCAGTCTACCACTCAGCCACATTCCCAGCCCTCTGTGGTCTCTTATCCAGCCTCCTTGTGAACCAGGTCACCCTACAGCACCGTCTTTCCACCCAGGACCTGCTGCCCCTTCCCCTTGCTATGGGACAGCTTTGACCCCCCCCCCCACCTCATATGCACAGAAGGGGTAATGGTCATTGAACCCCCATGATCAGACTCCCAAGTACTCAGCCTCTGCTTAAAAGTCACTGATCAAGTCAGCACCGGTGGCTCATGCTTGTCATCTTAGCTACTCAGGAAGCTGAGTCTTGAGGCTGGTGGTTTGAAGTCAGCTCAGGCGGACAAATCTGTGAGACTCTGTGAGACTCTGTGGACCAGCAAAAAAGCTGGAAGTGGAGGTGTGGCTCAAGACTTAAGGGAGGCAGGGAAGCCACGCTCTAGGTGGGGAACAGGGACTGAACTCGATAGTGGAGCCTCAGGTTCCTGCCCTTGGTAACCAGTTTGGAGAAACTAGTGGGCCACGCTCCCTGGCCCATGCTCCTCCCATGGTGCTGTCCTGTCCTACAGGCCACAAGGGCAGCGCTGGCCTTGGAGGAGCCTCGCGTGGACCGGCTACAGGTCCAGCTGAAGGAGCTGCTCGCCTTCCCTGACCTGCAGTCCTTCTCTGATCATGTGGTGGCTGCCATCCAGGAGTATCAGAGGTACGTGGGGGCCGAGGCCGGGGTAGGGGCATGCCCCACACCGCTGGCCCCTCTCCAGGAGGTGGCCCTGCTCGCTGACTGAGGTTGTCCTAGGCCATGTCGAGCGTGATTTCCTTTCGAGGCAGCTCATTCCATTTCTGTTGGGTCTCCCCGTGCCACTTCAGCGTGAGGTTTAGTGTGTGATGGCCGGAAGGGAGAGAGATCACTGATAGAAGCCATTCTCTGCCAGTGACTACACCAAAACCAAACCATCAGAGCCTGTGTGCATGGATCTGTGGGGGTGGCTGGTGTGCATGCCAGCCCAGCCTTGACCTGACCCCTGGGCCCCCAGACCCAGTTGCCCAGCTTCCTTGCCCAGCAAAGACTGTAGGATAAAGGCTTCCCGCGTGGGAATGTGTACCTGCTGTGTGAATTCAGGGTGTCCTGAACACAGCTTCAGGTGCCTGCAGCCTCGGTGTGTCGCATACCTCTGCCTGCTACGGGGTTCTTTCCGAATAATGGAGGCTTCCATTCACAGCTGTGCTAGGCCCACATCTGTAAAGTTGGGACAGGGCCTGCATCCCCTGTGGGATGCTGAGGCAGGGTGGGTAAGGGGCTGGAGTTCCTGAGCACAAAGCAGCAGAGGGGTAGATGGAGGGGGCAGAGCTTTGCTCTGTCTTGTAGATTCTAGATTGGCAAAGGCCCGAGGGGGCAGAGTAGCTTTGGGTATTAGACCCACCTTTCTGTTGTTTACTCATCTTTTTATTTATTTTGTGGGTTGTAGAGCTTGAACTCTGGGCCTGAGCACTGTCCCTCAGCTCTTCAGCTCAAGATGGGTGCTTTACCACTTGAGCCACAGTACCACTTCAGGTTTTGCTGGTGGGTGATTGGAGATAAGAGTCTCATGGACGTTCTTGCCTGGTCTGGGGTTGAACCGAGATCCTTAGATCTCAGCCTCCTGAATAGCTAGGGTTACAGGGATGAGCCACCAGTGCCTGGCTTACTCATCTTTTTAAAAATTATAAGTTTAAGCTGGGCACCAGTAGCTTGCATTGGTAATCCTAGCTACTCAGAAGGCTGAGATCTGAGGATCATGGTTCAAAGCTACACTGGGCACACAAATCTGAAAGACTCTTATTTCTAATTAACCACTAAAAAGCCAGAAGTAGAGCTATGGCTCATGTGTTAGAGCACCAGCCTTGAGTGAAAAAGCCAAGTGAGAACAGAAGGTCCCAAGTTCAATCCTCAATACCAGCACGAAATAATTAATGATAATACTAATAAAGAGTCTGCAGGTCTGACCTCAGAAAGACCTGAGCCATGCCCAATGCTTTTTTTTTCTTGCCAGTCCTGGGGCTTGAACTCAGGACATGGACACTATGCCTGAGCTTCTTTTGCTCAAGGCCACCACTTGAGCCACAGCGCCACCTCCAGCTTTTTCTCTTTGTGTGGTACTGAGGAATTGAATCCAGGGCTTCATGCATGCTATGTGAGCACTCTACCACTGAGCCACCTTCCCAGCCCCTACACTGAGCCACCTTCCCAGCCCATACACTGAGCCACCTTCCCAGCCCATACAGTTCATTTTCAACATAGTGGCCAGTGAGCACTGCTGCTGCATTTGCCCAGTGCTTTTTCATATCAGTGCTCAGAGGTCTCTGCCATCTACCTACCATACCCATCACTGCAGTTACTGCCTGTAGTCCAAAAAGTAGGAAAGAGAAGTGCACACTGGGCTCCGGGGAACCCATGCTGGTCCCCAACCGCACATTCTCCTCTCCATTTGCCCCTCTCTGATCCTTGCAGCATGAAGGCCCTGAGCACCCGGCTCCGCAATGCCACGGGGGCAGAGCTGTGGCAGCGTTTCCAGCGCCCCCTGCACGATCTGCAGCTGTGGGAGGCCCTGGCCCAGCGGCTCCTGGACGTCACTGCCAGCCTGCCAGACCTGCCCTCCATTCACACCTTCCTGCCCCAGATCGAGGTACGAACCCTGCTCCGGCCAGGCCGGCTGACTCATGTGTCTGGAGAGGTGCCAGGCTGGCGTGTGGCCTGTGAGCCTCTCTTCCAGGCCGGTACCTTCACCCTGACTGTTGGCCTCAGGGCCGGCTCCTCCCGCGCCTGTCTGCCCAGGCAAACGGAAGGAGCCAGCCTGGGCAAACACCTCGTTTCCTCTGAGTTCTGCGACAGATCTCAAAGATCATCCAGAATGAATCCTAATGGCAGGCCACGCCTGGCACCTTCCTTTTTTCTTTTCTTTTCTTTGGTTGGTTGAGGGGCTTGAACTCTGGGCCTGGGTGCTGTCCCTCAGCTGCTCAGCCCAAGATGAGCACTCTACCACTTGAGCCACAGCGCCACTTCCAGTTTTCTGGTGGTTTTTATTAGAGATCAGAGTCTTACAGACTTTCCTGCCTGGGCTGGCTTTGAACTGTGATCCTCAGATCTTAGCCTCCTGAGTAGCTAGGATGACAGGCGTGAACCGCCAGTGCCCGGCCGTGGCACCTTCCTTTCTGAGGCTGCCCTGAAACCCTAAGGCGTTTACAGGTGGCTTAAAGCAGTAGAAGTCTGTGTCTCCCAGAGGGTGCCAGCAGGGCCCCAGAGACCCTGTCAGTGATGGAGATCCCCCTCGGAGGCCCACCTTGCGAGCATGGTGTGGTCCGCCGTGGGGAAGGCAGTCCTGCGGTATCCCACAGGAGCTGAGTGTGGAATGGCAGCCAGAGGAGGTGGGATGGGGGGAGGACTTATGAGACAAGTAGGAGGCAGAATTGCATCGTGGGTGTGGCCAAGGTGATGGATTGGGGCGGGGCGAAGAGAAGAACCAGTGCAGGGTCTTCCCAGAGGAGGTGTCTTCCATTCGGGTTTACTGTTCCCCGGGCCTCCTATGCGCCAGCGCAGGTGTGCTCGGTGGCTCACAGGTGGCTTGGGTTCCCTAGGCAGCCCTGGTGGAAAGTTCTCGTCTGAAGGAGCAGCTGGCCGCACTGCCGCTGAAGGCAGACCTGCTGGATAGCGTCTTTGGCCAGGAGAGAGCGCAGGCCCTGCTGGAGCAGGTGGCGGGGGCCGTGAGGGACAGGGACCTGCTGCACAACCGCCTTCTGCAGAGAAGGAGCAAGCTGCAGGTGAGTGGATGGACCCTCAGGATGCCCTGTGGGTGTTCTAATCCCAGCTCTACCCCTTGCCACTGTGACCCTGGGGGTGATTCTTTGTCTCCCGCAATCTCAGGCCCTTTATGTGTAAAAGGATTCTGGTCTCCCTTGAACTGGCTTCCTGGCCAGCTCCCAACCACAATCCAACTGAACTATCTTCCTCAGAGACAGGAAAGCTTGGAGAAAAAGTAACTGTGAAGATGAAGCAACCACATGGTAGGAATATGGGTGTTACTGGAGAGACACTCTTGTCACACTAAAACAAAGATAGAGCTTTTTTTGTTTTTGTTTTTTTTGTTGTTCTCTCTCGATGCCAGTACAGGGGCTTGAACTCAGGGCCTTGGCAGGATCCCTTTTTCCATTTGAGGCTGGTGCTCTCCCACCCGATCCACAGTTCCACTTCTGGATGTTTGCTGGTCCACTGGAGATGAGAGTCTTGTGTACTTTTCTGTCAGGGATGGCTTGGCACTGTGTTCCTCAGAACTTAGCCTTCTAAGTAGCTGGGATTACAGATGTGAGCTGCTGGCACTGGCCTACATAGCTTGAAATTCTGTGAGCAGCCTCTTCTGTATGATGAATGTCTGCTGGGTCTCTGACTATGGTGACCATAATGATTACAATCTCTGGGGCGCTGGGTGCAGGTCAGGCACTTGCCAAGAGCTTCATACCTGTGATCTATATGACCCCAGGGACCCCATGAGGAGGGTTTGTCTTGGTTCAGAGGCACTAAAACGAGGGGCTTGTGGTCTAGAAATGGCGGGCTAAGACTCAGGCTGCACATACTGCTGTTTGTTCGACTCCAAGGCGGCGATCTCACCCCGGGCTCTGACCCTCATTGGCAGAGCTAGGCTGGGTTTCAGGAACTGGAGGATTAGGGGGACACAGAGGGGAAGCTGAGGTCTCCCCATGGAACAGACACAAGCCAGTGGCAGAGACAGCAGGGCAGGCATTTCCCAGGGCCCATCACGATGTCGATCTTAAACAAGGACCCACAGACTGTGAAGAGCAAGAGCAGAGGGGATCTATGTGTGCAGGGCCCTTGGCTCAGCTGTCATTCAAATTGTCACAGTGGAGACAAATGGCTGCGTCTTTGTTCTAATAAAACTTTATTTGTACAAAGAGATCTCTAATAGGATGGGGTGGGGGGAGGCTGCCAGCCCCTGTTCTAAAATGGTGTGATCAAAGTGTGACACTGGGAGACAGCTGTGACCCCAGGGACAGACTCCCACGCCAGTACTCATGGGAGCAACTGGATTGCAAGTCTACGCATACGAATAGGTACCCAGGAGGTAAGCACTTAATTTGCAGCAGCCTGGTTCTGTCTCTGCAGAGTTTGCTTGTCCAGCACAAAGACTTTGGGGCTGCTTTTGAACCCCTGCAGAGGAAGCTCTTGGACCTGCAAGTCAGGATGGAGGCGGAGAAAGGGCTCCAGAGGGACATCCCCGGAAAACAGGCCCAGCATTCAAGGTTGCAGGTGAGGGGGTTTGTGGGCCCCGGTCACCCCCATGTGGAGGCTTGGTTCTGCACAGAAGCTGCCCTCCCTTCTCACAAGGGGAACTGGGGAGCAGCAGGCAGCTGGAGCCCAGGGTAGTGATCCATTTCACTTGATCTGACTTTTTGTCTATTTATTTATCTGATGCTTCCTGGCCTCCACAGGGCTATTGAATGGAGCAAAATGAGAAACAGATCCTTTATTTACTCTGGAGTTCTAAGTCCAACATTGATATTTATTTTTTTGTTTTATTTTTTCTTTCTTTCCATGACTGGAGCTTAAACTCAGGGCAACCCGCTTGCTCAGCTGGAGCTCTACTACTTGAGCCACACTTCCAGCCTGATTTTTTTAGCTGGTTAATGGGAGATGGGGGTCTTGTGGACTTTTCTGCCTAGGCTGGCCTCAAACTGCAATCCTCTATCTCTCAGCCTCCCGAGTAGCTAGTTTTACAAGAATAAGCCCCCGCCCCTGGCAATGTTTTTCTTCTTCTGGGACTAGGATTTGAATGGAGGGCCTTGTAATTGCTGAGCTGGCATTCTACCACTTAACCCTGCCTCCCGATTCTCTATTTTTGTTTTGTTTTTTCCTTGCTAACTTCCTAGTGAGTCTAGAAGCCTTCCATTGAATAAACCATGTATACTGCAAACTGGCTGCTCATTGACCACTGTTGGCTGGATGAGGTGCTTTCTGGTTTTCCAAATGCATGTGATGTATGTGATGCATGTTGTACATGTTGTCTTTTGTGTGTATATGTGTATGAGGGGGGAGGGGTCCTGTCCTTGAGCACAGGGCCTGGGTGCTGTCCCTGAGCCACAGCTCCACTTCTGGCTTTTTGTTGGTGGTTAACTGGAGATGAGAATCTCACGGGCTTTCTTGCCCGTGAAGGCTGGCTTCAAACTGCAATCCTCAGATCTCAGCCTCCTGAGTAGCTAGGATTAAATGCGTGAGCCACTGGCACCCAGTTTGGTGGTTGTCGTTTAAAATTCCGTTGTGGCTCATACACAAAATGAGTGTCCTCTGGGACTCACTCACCATGCTACCAAAGGAGCGGTGAGTCTTCATTGGGAGTGAGGGTCAGTCAGCGTGTGAGGTTCTGATGTCTGCGCTGCGGACGCTGTCTGGCCTCGTCCACACTGTGTTTTCATGATGCCTCCAGAATATTTTTTTTTTTTTTTTTTTGTCGGTCGTGGGGCTTGAACTCTGGGCCTGGGCGCTGTCCCTCAGCTCTTCAGCTCAAGGCGAGCGCTCTACCACTTGAGCCACAGCGCCACTTCCGGTTTTCTGGTGGTTTATTGGAGATAAGAGTCTCACGGTCTCTCCTGCCCGGGCTGGCTTTGAACCGCGATCCTCAGATCTCAGCCTCCTGAGTACCTAGGATTACAGGCGTGAGCCACCAGCGCCCGGCTCCTCCAGAATATTTTTGTCTGAAATTTTTATCTGCTCTGAGAGGGGGCCTATCAGAATAGCCTATGGTGTAGCTGCTGCTGTGGGGAGCTGCCATCCTGGAAGCCCCTCCCCCTCCCTGGACTCCCACTCGGAGCCCCTCCTCCCCCCCTCCCTGGACTCCCACTCTGAGCTCCTCCCTCTTCTCCCTGGACTCCCACTCGGAGCCCCTCCCCCTTCTCCCTGGAGTCTCACTCACTGCCCCTCCCCCTTCTCCCTGGACTCTCACTCACTGCCCCTCCCCCTTCTCCCTGGACTCTCACTCAGAGCCCCTCCCCCTTCTCCCTGGACTCTCACTGCCCCTCCCCCTTCTCCCTGGACTCTCAGAGCCCCTCCCCCTTCTCCCTGGACTCTCAGAGCCCCTCCCCCTTCTCCCTGGACTCTCACTGCCCCTCCCCCTTCTCCCTGGACTCTCACTCAGAGCCCCTCCCCCTTCTCCCTGGACTCTCACTGCCCCTCCCCCTTCTCCCTGGACTCTCACTCAGAGCCCCTCCCCCTTCTCCCTGGGCTCTCACTCAGAGCCCCTCCCCCTTCTCCCTGGACTCCCACTCAGAGCCCCTCCCCCTTCTCCCTGGGCTCTCACTCGGAGCCCCTCCCCCTTCTCCCTGGACTCTCACTCGGAGCCCCTCTCCCTTCTCCCTGGACTCTCACTCGGAGCCCCTCCCCCTTCTCCCTGGGCTCTCACTCGGAGCCCCTCCCCCTTCTCCCTGGACTCTCACTCGGAGCCCCTCCTCCTTCTCCCTGGACTCTCACTCGGAGCCCCTCCCCCTTCTCCCTGGGCTCTCACTCAGAGCCCCTCCCCCTTCTCCCTGGACTCCCACTCAGAGCCCCTCCCCCTTCTCCCTGGACTCTCACTCGGAGCCCCTCCCCCTTCTCCCTGGACTCTCACTCGGAGCCCCTCCTCCTTCTCCCTGGACTCTCACTCAGAGCCCCTCCCCCTTCTCCCTGGACTCCCACTCAGAGCCCCTCCCCCTTCTCCCTGGACTCCCACTCAGAGCCCCTCCCCCTTCTCCCTGGACTCTCACTCGGAGCCCCTCCCCCTTCTCCCTGGACTCTCAGAGCCCCTCTCCCTTCTCCCTGGACTCTCACTCAGAGCCCCTCCCCCTTCTCCCTGGACTCTCACTCAGAGCCCCTCCCCCTTCTCCCTGGACTCTCACTCGGAGCCCCTCCCCCTTCTCCCTGGACTCTCACTCGGAGCCCCTCCCTCTTCTCCCTGGACTCTCACTCAGAGCCCCTCCCCCTTCTCCCTGGACTCTCACTCAGAGCCCCTCCCCCTTCTCCCTGGACTCTCACTCAGAGCCCCTCCCCCTTCTCCCTGGACTCTCACTCGGAGCCCCTCCCCCTTCTCCCTGGACTCTCACTCGGAGCCCCTCCCTCTTCTCCCTGGACTCTCACTCAGAGCCCCTCCCCCTTCTCCCTGGACTCTCACTCAGAGCCCCTCCCCCTTCTCCCTGGACTCTCACTCAGAGCCCCTCCCCCTTCTCCCTGGGCTCTCACTCAGAGCCCCTCCCCCTTCTCCCTGGACTCCCACTCAGAGCCCCTCCCCCTTCTCCCTGGACTCTCACTCAGAGCCCCTCCCCCTTCTCCCTGGACTCTCACTCGGAGCCCCTCCCCCTTCTCCCTGGACTCCCACTCGGAGCCCCTCCCCCTTCTCCCTGGACTCCCACTCAGAGCCCCTCCCCCTTCTCCCTGGACTCTCACTCGGAGCCCCTCCCCCTTCTCCCTGGACTCCCACTCAGAGCCCCTCCCCCTTCTCCCTGGACTCTCACTCGGAGCCCCTCCCCCTTCTCCCTGGACTCCCACTCGGAGCCCCTCCCCCTTCTCCCTGGACTCCCACTCGGAGCCCCTCCCCCTTCTCCCTGGACTCCCACTCGGAGCCCCTCCCCCTTCTCCCTGGACTCTCACTCGGAGCCCCTCCCCCTTCTCCCTGGACTCCCACTCGGAGCCCCTCCCCCTTCTCCCTGGACTCCCACTCAGAGCCCCTCCCCCTTCTCCCTGGACTCCCACTCGGAGCCCCTCCCCCTTCTCCCTGGACTCCCACTCAGAGCCCCTCCCTCTTCTCCCTGGACTCTCACTTGGAGCCCCTCCCCCTTCTCCCTGGGCTCTCACTCAGAGCCCCTCCCCCTTCTCCCTGGACTCTCACTTGGAGCCCCTCCCCCTTCTCCCTGGACTCTCACTCAGAGCCCCTCAGTCTCTCCCTGAGGCAGAAGCAGGATGCACAGCTGACCTTTTCCCGTCTCCCTGCAGGCACTGCATGGAGAGAGTATGGAGCTGGGAGTCCAAATAGAGGCGGTGAGGCCCCTCATTCAGGAGAAATCCAACCACCAGCACCAGCTGGACCAGCTTTGCTCCGATCACCACACCCTGCAGAGGGCCCTGGAGGTAGGGGGACAGCCAAGGGCCCAGAAGCCACTGGGTCCGAGCCCTGGAAGCCTACATGCCTGGGGCCTGTCTGTTCCTTCCCTCCTTCCTCCTTCTTTCCTTCCTTCCTTCCTTCCCCCACTCCCTCCTTCCTCTCTTTCTTACTCCTTCCTTCCCTTTTCCATTCGGATAGCAGATGACTACCCAGCACTGGGGACTGCTCTAGGCACCATGGGTGAGACACAGCCTGAACGGGGCAGGCAAGGCTGTGTTCTCCGGGGTCGGGTAGGTGGCAGTTAGCCCGCAGCTATGATTCTGCATAGGAACCCAGGCCACTGCCTGGGCAGAGAGCTGAGGTTGCCTGGGTCACGACAGCCAGGCTGCAGTAGGCCAGGTTCTGCAGAGCCTTGTCTGCAGCACCCTCTAGTGGCCACCTGAGCACTCGCTGGCGTTCTCACCGGGTCCGTTCCAGTTCGTGCAGTGAGTGAATGGAGCCCAGGGCTTCTCCAGGCTGGGCACGCGGGGACTCTGACAGAGGCTTAGGTCTGTCCATTTTCCTGAAGAAAACTCAGGTGTGAGTCAGGGGTCCCTCACCCACTCGTGCCCTCAGTGGGATCTGGGGCACGTGCACCGCCTCCAGCCTCCTCCTGTGGCGATGGAGTCTCACTGATGGTTCTGTGCTCATTGGCCTGGAATGGACAAGGCCAGCCCTCAGCTCGGCTCCCATAGCTGGGATGACAGGTGTTCTCCATGGCACACGGCCATGGGATTAAGAAGTCTTGTGACTGCTCCTGTCTGGGCAGCCCTCAAACTGCGATCCTCCTATTTGCAGCCTCAGAAGTAGCTAGAATTACAGGAGCAAGCCAGTTGGTGCCTGACTCAGATTTTTAAAACTTACACGGATCTGTCACCAACTGGGCCCAAGTAGTCACAGCAGTCAGATAAAATCCAGGGTAACACCAGCGTCCTTTATGCCCTCCTGGCACCACACCTGACCCTCAGGGGCAACTCTAGCCTCAGATTTGAAACCCAGCTGGCATCGGTTGTGGGCTTTGCATGTGACGCTTGTTGTTTTAGAACATTCTGCCATGGGGAATGTGCTTATCCATATCAGGAGCAGGATGGCTGGGTCAGGAGGCACTCCTGTGTTTATGTGGCTGTACTTGGGCTCAACTCCAGGGCCTTGTGCTCGGCTCGGCAGTCACTTTCCCAGTTGAGCCATACCTCTAGTCCTTTTGCCTTCTTTTTTATTTCTGAATAAGATCTCATTTTCTGCCCAAGCTGGTCTTAAACCATGAGCCTCTTGACCTCAGCCTCTTGCGTAGCTAGGATTACAGGCACGAACCACCATACCCAATTCCATTTTACCTGATGCTTCCCAGTGGTTTGCAAAGGGCTGGCGTGCCCGGGGTGGATGGGAGCTGGGCACGCCCCATCCATCCCATAGAAGCACGGTTTTCACCGGAGTTGGCCTGGGCAGAGGGGAGGCCCAGCCCTGTGCTGTTCCTGATGGCGTTAGGAGTTGGGGGAAGCCTGAGAGTCCTGCAGGGGTTGGGCAGTGCCCGGGTCCCTGCCTCCACCCACACTCAGGGCACCCTGGCCCTCTGGGCTGTGCCGCAGGACCTGGTGGACAGGTGTGGGCAGAGCGTGAGGGAGCACTGTACCTGGAGCCACCGGCTGCTGGAGCTACGACAGTGGATCGCTGTGGTCACACAGATGTTGGCGTCATACCGGGCAGAGGCAGGCTCCGGGGAGACCGAGCCCCAAGAGGTGGAGGTGAGCTGGCTATTCATTGCCTTACCGGCCTCCTCCCAAGCCTCTACCGCCGATGCTCCCACATGTGGAGGCAGAGCCCTCTCTACTCCTGGGGCCTCACTGTCTGTGTCCCTGTGTCCCTCAGAGGCTGCTGGCGGAGCTCCCGGGCAAGGAGGCCCAGTTGCCGCTGATGGAGGCCATGGGCCAGCTGGTGATGGAGAAATCTTCTCCAGAGGGTGCGGCTGCGGTCCGGGAGGAGCTCCGGGAGCTGGAGGAGTCCTGGCAGGCCCTGAGGCAGCTGGAGGAGGCAGCGCTGAGGTGAGAGGTGCCCCCCCGCCTCCTGCTGTCTGCAGAGCAGGTGCTGGACAGCCTGTGTACCAGGCATGGCGCCGGGGGCCAGGTGGAGGTCATTGTCTTCACACTTGGGCCCAGTTGGCGACTCTGATCAGGCCATGAGAAGCAGGGCTCTATCTCTTCATCCTGTCTGGCTCGGGCCTCAGTTTTCTTCTCTCCATCTCTGGGGTTGTGCGTGGACCTGGGGTGAGGGGGTGATGTGGGTGGAAGTTGGGCACAAGGTGGGAACGGGCCCTGCAGCGCCCTGCCACCCCTCAGAGATGACTTCCAGGTTGTGGTCAGCAGCAGAACCGTGGGACCCCAGAGCTTCCACCTGATGGACCATCCCCCCTCCCTGTCTTCTGGCCTCAGGAGGAAATGGCAGCTGCGGATGACCCCAGTGGATTCGGACAGGAAGCTGGTTTTCACCAACAACATCCCCAAGTCTGGCTTCCTCGTCAACCCCGGGGATCCTATTCCCAGGCGGCGGCGTGGGGTGAGTCTGGCGGGTGTCGGGGGTGGGCAGGAGGTGGCTGCTTTTGCTGTGTGTCACAGAGGGGACTCAGAGACCCCCCCCCCCCACTGAAAAATATTTACTACATGGCATCAAACAGAAAAACCCCAAAATGGAGCCATAAGCTGTGTGCCGGCAGCTCACGCCTGTCACACTGGCTTCTCAGGAGGCTGAGATCTGAGGATCATTGGTCAAAGCCAGCCCAGGCAGCAAAGCCCATGAGACTCTTATCTCCAAAAAATTACTGGGAAAAAGCTGGAAGTGGAGCTGTGGCTCAAGTGGGAGAGCACTATCCTGAAGCGTAAAAGCAGCTTGGGTTATAGCCTCTAGGCCCAGAGTTCAAGCTCCAGGACCAGAAAAGAAAGAAAGAAAAACCTGAGCCATGCTGAAAAGAATTGTATTGCTTGTTGCTCAGAAACAATCTGTCAGGCCAGGTGTGATTGCATATGTCTGTAATCTCAGCCCTTGGGAAGCTAAGACAGGAGGATCACTTGAGCCCAGGAGTTCAAAAGCCAGGCTGAGAATGTCAATTACTCACGCTCCGAGTCATTCCCTCGTCTCCCCATGGAGTATGTCTGTAGTCTACAACCTTGCCAACCCGCAGGACTGGCCAGCCTCTCCCCACCCTTCAGCACCCAGTCCTTACCTGCCCCTCTGTGGAATCCCCAGAGGGCCTTTCTCACTTCTGCCCCCTGGTCTGTGACTTCCTCAGGTGGGCCTGCGGGAGGCAGGGGAGGGCGGCCGTGAAGATTTCCCCAGGCTGTTCGGGAACTTCGAGCAGTGGCTGCAGACAGAAAATTCCAAGCTGATCCGAATTATCGCGATGAAAACCACCACAGCCCAGGATGTGAGGGCCAGAGAGACAAAACTGCAGGTTGGTTCCTTGTCCGTGGGGGTCTGGGGAATCTTCTGAACAAAGGAGCAGACATACCAGTGAGCACCCAGGAGCAGATACACCAGTGAGCTACTCTCGCTGGTGGAAAATAGCAGATCTTAAATTTTTTTGGTGTGTGTGTGTGTGTGTGTGTGTGTGTGTGTGTGTGTGTGTGTGTGTGTGTGTGTGTGTGTGTGTGTGTGTGTGTGTGTGTGTGTGTGTGTGTGTGTGTGTGTGTGTGCATGCGCCAGTACTGAGGCTTGCGCTCAGGACTTGGGCACTGTCCCTAAGCTTTTTCACTCAAGGCTGGTGCTCTATCACTTAAGCCTCAGCTCCACTCAGGTCTTTTTGGTGATTAATCAGTGTTACACACTGAGTACAGTGCTCAGGATGGGCTTAGAGCTCTGTTTTGTCATCTAAGATGACTCTTTAACCAGGCCCTGGACCTCCTGGCCTACTCTTTGGTTTTATAAAAGTGTACTGTGGTAGAGATTGAAATTTATTTATTTATCCTGCTGGAGAATGATTCAAACTCCTACATCTTTTGTCCAGGGTATTTTTAGAAAACTCTATTAGAGTGCGTGCGTGCGTGCGTGCGTGCGTGCGTGCGTGCGTGTGTGTGTGTGTGTGTGTTAGTACTGGGACTTGAACTCATGATTTCAGTCTTGCTTAGCTTTTTTCAGTCTACCACTTGAGCCATATCTTCACTTCTAGGTTTTTTGCTGGTTAATTGAAGGCAAAATGTTGTCTATCCTCAGACCTCAGCCTCCTGTACAGCTGGCATGACAGACATGAGCCACCAGTGCCCATCTTGCTTTATAATTATTTTTTTTATTTTTTATTTATTTTTTGGGGGGTCCAATCGTGGGGCCTGAACTCTGGGCCTGGGCGCTGTCCCTCAGCTCTTCAGCTCAAGGCTAGCTCTCTACCACTTGAGCCGCAGCGCCACTTCTGGCTTTTTTTTTTTTTGCTTATGTGGTGCTGAGGAATCGAACCCAGGGCCTCAGGCATGCAAGGCAAGTGCTCTACCACTGAGCCACCTTCCCAGCCCCTATATTTTTTATTTTTATTTTTTTTGTCGGTAGTGGGACTTGAACTCTGGGCCTGGACACTGTCCCTCAGTTGTTCAGCTCAAGGCTAGTGCTCTACCACTTAAACCATGGCGCCACTTCTGGTTTTCTGAGTGGTTTATTGGAGATAAGGGTCTTTCCTGCCTGGGCTGGCTTTGAACCCCGATCCTCAGATCTCAGCCTCCTGAGTGGCTAGGATTACAGGCATGAGCCATCGGCGCCCGGCTCTAATTCTTTAGACAGAGTAAATATGGCTGCTTTACAGTGTGGTTTGAAATTTCCCATCTCCCAGGATTTTCGCAGTGTGTCGGTTATATATTTTTGCTTCTTCTTGATAGCCTGTGTCTAGATGTGGCAGCTTCGATTGTGTGCTCGGCATTGTGTTTGACAAATTATGTGTATGGCTAATTTGAGATTTAGAGTCATCTTTCCACAGAGGGCTTTTCATTTTTATTTATTTTTATTATTGCTAAGAAGTAGGGGCTTTATCAGTCTGAGGGTGCTGAGTCCAAGTTCCTCTGGACCACTGAGATGCTGGAGCTGGGCTGCAAGTACACACAAGTTGGGGTTCACTTCAGGCTCACACCTTTACTCTTAGGGTGAAGTGAACAAAAGTCTCCACTGAAGAGGGCACTCCCCCTCTTCCTCTCCTTACGTTGTGAGGCTGCCAAAAGCAGTATTTCTTAATTATTCACCTGCCAGACTGGCAAACGGAAGTCCAGACACACAGGGCATTCCCTCCTGGTTCTCATCCTTGCTTGAGTTTTTGCTTTTTCCTTTATTCAGTGCTGGGATCAAACCCAGTACCTTATGCATGTTAGACCGGTGCTTTACCACTGAGCCACACCTCCAGTTCCCCTCCTCTTCTTGAGGGTTCATCTGATCTTTGTTAACCCTTTGATGGCTGGATCTGTTGGTAATATTTTGTCCTCCGTGACCCTTTCCCACCCACCTCTCCTGCCTCAGATTTGCTCCTTCCTTTTGTTTCCTGGTATCCAACTCCACTATAGCAGAAATAGCTTTTAGCTCCCCTGCTCCCTGTTTTCCAGCTGGCATTCTAGTAGGCTCTGAAAAGCTAAGCCAATTACCCATATCATACAGCTAAAGGATGGAGGGGGCAGGCCCAAAGACAACATTTCAACCCATGCTCCTGCCTATAAAGCCTTGAACTACCCCAATATCATACCGTAGTAGTCCCAGAAACTCAGGTTGCCATGCTATGAGACCACAGTACTCTGCCTGAGTAGAAAAGTCTGTCAGGCTCAAAAATGCCCTTGGAAACATAATTCAATGGTGGTCACTTTATTAATGATGTCAGAGTTGGATGGGACCCCATTGGTCAGCATTCTAACTGACCTACCACACTTAAGGCCATTCTGGAACATTCCAGAGAACTGATTACAGGCCTTGGCTTGAAATGGCATAAAGTGAAGTTACTGCCTTATGGGTTCTGTCTGCCAGCTCTCTGCTCGCCTCTCCATGCAGTGACACTTGATTGCCCATCTATACAAGCCACGAGAAGCAGCTCTGTCTGACTCTGCCTTCTCCCTCAGGAGCTGGAGGTTCGAGTCCCAGAAGGTCAGCATCTCTTTGAGAACCTTCTTCGCTTGGGTCCAGCAGGGGACCGTTCAGAGGAGCTGGAAGATCTGCGCTACCGCTGGATGCTGTATAAGTCCAAGCTCAAGGACTCTGGCCAGCTCCTGGTAGGTGCTCAGGGGACAGCCAGGCCCCAGGAAGGACAGGGCTGGGGACACACGTGGGCCCTGTGTATACCTAGGTGACAGCTTGGAGGTGTGGGTGGGGGGGGAAGAAGACAGGTTTTTGCTTCCCATGATGCACTTGGCCACCTACTGCCTTGTGAGGCCAGCGTCCAGACAATAATCATGGCAGAGCCTTGGGCCTCACTTGCTGGCTGCCATGCAGAAAGCTCTCGGTGCCTTTCTCTGTTCAGTTCATGGGCTTCCTCTGACAGAATCCGCACGTGGTCTCCAAGGGGGTGCTGCACTGGGCTTGAGTGGGGCCTGAGGTCCAGCTCCCCTCCCCGACTGGCCTCCCTGCCTGGCATTGACTAAGGATTCTCTCCTCTTGAGCCTCCATGCCTCCTACACAAAATAGCCACAGCGACACCAGTAACCAACCGTGGCTCTTATGCAGCGCTCTAACCTATCTATAGAGAGGCTAGTTGTCCATCCCTGTGGACCATGAGGGTGAAGCCCAGGAGAGGCCCGGAGGAGGCGCCTCTCTTCCCAGGCCCAGGTCAGACTCTAGGCATCTGGTCCCAAGATGTCAGCCACTAGATGTCAGCCCAGACCAAGCCAGGCGGCCATGTCCCCCAGCGCCTGGCCCAGGCCTTCCCAGACACAGTCCCACCTGGGCCCGAAGCATGTTCAAAAGCTCATTAAATCGAATCTCCTGCTGGCTCCATTGTGCAGATGACCAGAAGTTTTCACGAATCGCTCCCTTGACAAAATGAATATTCCATTACACGTTCTGCTGGGATTTAAATTTCACTCACCTCCATCTCCCCTCCCTCCCCCCTTCTTTCCTTCCTTGCAATAACAGACGCAGAGTTCTCCAGGGGAGCCGACTGGATTCCAGAAGGTACGTATGTTCGTACATGTCTGCCATCTGCTCCACAGAGCTGAGGGGGAGCTTGCAGTGACCCTGGGGGACAGGATACCTGGGTTTTCTAGTAGGTTCTGTGAGATCTGAGACGCGTTGATGGCAAAGTGGTTCTGGGCTGTAGTGGGTTGGGTCCTGGAAAGGCCAGGCTCAGGAACGACCCGTGGGGATGTACAGAAGGCTCAGAGGTGCCAGGCCCTCATCAGAATCAGGCACACTGGGGAGGGACAAGGAAGCTATCCATAAATAACCATGACAGCAGGTGTCAGCTGGAACTGTCCCAGGAGCCGGGGCCATTCTGGGGACAATGGACCATGGGGTCACCCTCAGGACAGAGGGGTGTGCAGGGCTCCGCACTACTCTAAGAAGGTGGTGGTGGAATCCCCTTGTTCTGTCTGGCACGGGGTTCCACTTGTGCCCACAGAGACACGCACGGGCTGTTTGTAGTTGAAGCAAGAGAGGAAGCAGCCGGAAGGATAGGAAGGGGTACTGGTTCTTGGCACTCAGCACGGGATACCTGAGCTGCCTCTTGTGTACCAGCTACCCTGCTCTGCTGGGTGATGGCATCTCACCAACCCACCTGGCCATGCCCAAGTGGCTTTAGCAGCAAGCGAAACTGGCTTGTTCAGCTGGTATCTAGCCTCTGATACCCAAGCTTACATTTTAGCCTTCCAGGGAATGTCTTGGAGGAGGCCTCCCTGAGGCCTGCAGTGTGTCCAGCTCCTGCCAAATGTCCCCAGGTGGCCATTTCCAAGGGAAATACACTTGTTTTCTTGCTAAGAATTGGCCCATACGGGGCCCTGACACCCTGGCTGCTGGCTAAGTTCAAGCCTGGCACCTGTGGGGGCGGGGGAGTGGGTAAGCCATGGACTGGGCGGGGCTATCAGACCAAGGCTGTACCCTGCACCCAGCACCAACCCCCTGTATGGCCTTGGGCAAGTGGCTTAACCTTTGTGGCCCAGTTTTCCCGTCTGTTAAATGGGAATGCCAATCTTGCCTTTCTTCCTGTTTCAACATTGAAGACTGCATGAACTGTTCTCTGTAGAGAGATACCTAGAGCCGAAGGCCGGTTCCTCCCAAGTTTAGAATAATGACAGCCTGTTGGCGGAATGGGGGAGAGTGGCAGGAAAGAGCAGGCATCCATCATGGCCCAGCCAGGTGACTCCTGGTGGAAAATGGCTGCCCTAAGACCAGAGGACCAGACTGCTTCTAGCTTTCAACTCCTTGTGCAGCTCCTATGCCCGAGTCTACCTAGAAGCCAGTACTGATGGAGCACTGAGCTTGGGCCAAGCTCTGTTTTCTGCTCTGGGAACGTGACAGGGAACAGGAGAGCAATTGATCCTGCAAGGCCATGTTCCTGGCTGGGTGGAAAGAGGTGCCCGGGCTCCTGGACTGCAGCGTGGGCTTCTGGGTCAGAAAGCTCCCAAGGACAGTGGCTGGGCAGGGCCTGCAGGACCCCAAGATTTGCCTCAGCTATGGCCAGTAGGTGTTGGGCACAGTTTTGTGAGATGGATAAGCAAGAAGAATCTAAGGGGGCACAAAAATCTGCTCTCCTGGGCTATGTATGAAACTTTGGCTTCCGTGCTGGCTGGCTTTGAGCCTGTAGGAGGAAGAAAATTAGGAGCTGCAGGACAGGACAGATTGCTGAGCCTGTTTCTAGAGAGTTCATGTTGTTTGTTTGGCTCTGTTGCTGAGCTACACCCCAGCCCCAGAACTAGGAAATCTAATCTAGTAGGCCTGGAAGGGGCCATGAATCTGCATTTCTAGCAAATTCCCAGGTGACACTGATGCTGCTGGGGAATATACTTTGCGAACCATTGCTTGACAACCTGGATTTGAGTCCCCCCTCTCCCACTAGTGTGTGTGGCCTTTAGCAAGTCACTTAATCATTGTCTTCCAATGAATGAGTGACAGTCACCAAGAGAATCGCAGGCAAAGTTCCTTCTGTAACCATTGACACGCAGTAGGCTCTCATTTGTTGTACATGAAGGCCTGGCACTTCGGTAGATCCTGTCTCCTCCCCTCCCCTCCCATCTCTTCCCCCCACCTTTCTTTTCTTTCCCCCTCTTCCCTTTCTCTCCCTGCTTCTGACAGGGTCTCACTGTGTAGTTCAACCTGGCCTCACACTTGCAATCCTCCTATTTCAGCCGTGAGTGTCTGGGATTATAGCCATCACTGTGCTTCTCTTGATGAAAAAAAAAGTTTGGTTTGATCCTCATAGTAGTGTGTGTGTGTGTGTGTGTGTGAGAGAGAGAGAGAGAGAGAACGCACATGCGTACCAGTCTTGAGGCTTGAACTAGGGGTCTAAGTGCTATCTTTCAGCTTTTTTGCTCAAGGCTAGTCCTCTACCACTTGAGCCACTGTTCCACTTCCAGCTTTTTTGCTGGTTAATTGGAGATAAGACTCTCTTGGATTTGGCTGGCTTTGAACCACGATCCTCACATCTCAGCTTCCTGAGTAGCTAGGATTACAGTCGTGAGCCACTAGCTCTCACGTTATCTTTTGCTAGTCTTGCTGTTATATTTCTGTTGCTATTATAAAAATACTTGAGATAATCAACTTACAAAGAGAAAAGGTTTATTTTGGCCCATGGTGATGTGGTTCTAGTCTGGCCAGTTGGCCTCCTTGTTTTGGGCCTGTGATAAGGAAGCATGTCATGGCAGGGGTTGTGTGGTAGAACAAAACTGCTCACCTCACAACCAGGAGGCAGAAAGAAGAGGAAAAGACTAGGGTCCCACTATCCCTTTAACTGCAAGCTGCCAATGGCCTCAGAACCTCTCCCCAGGCCCCACCTCTTAAGGTTCCACTACCTCCAAACAGTGCCTCATGGCACCAGGGCGCCACTTGTTTGAGTTGGGGTTGGAGGGTTTTTGTTTTTTGGGATTTTTTTTTGCTAGTTAGGGTATGTGTATGTGTGCGTACAGCTCTACATACATGCATATATACACATACAGGCTTGACAGGTCGAAAATAAGTGCTGTCTGCCAAGGCTGTAATCTTGCCAACTTAAAAAACATTCCACATATTTTTAGTCCAAGGGAAAGAAAAAAAGCTTGCTCCTAAGCTAATTATTTCTGAATGGCTGGTTTTCTATACTTTTTTTTAACTCTCCTGGCTCTTAAGTTGGCGAAGGCTCCGGCTCCATCCATGGCTTCAGCCTGCTTGTTTGTATAAACAGAGTAATTAAGATTTATTAAATCTGTAACTGCCCCTGTCCCTGCAGCACAGTGCTCCTGGATGCTCATCCCTGGCACATGCACGCACACGTGCACACACACGTGCACACACACACACACACAAGGCATACGTGCTCCTTGAGCTGCCGTGTGTCACCTCAAGCCCTGCACTGGTCCAGGATGTGGTGCTGCTGCTGTCCTGAGACACACATTGATTTTATTTTAGCTTGAGGAATAACTTGGCTGAACCAACGTCATCTGCAGGGTGGATGGGCACAGAGTTCTGGGCATGGCCCAGTGTGGGCTCTTGACATTCAGGCAGCAGGTAGTCAGCCACAGAGAGCAGCATTTGGCTCACTGTGTGTGTGTGTGCGCCTGCGCACGCGCGCGCGCACACACGCACCAGCCTGAGGTTTAAACTCAGGGCCTTCACTGTCCCTGAACTTTTTTGGTCAAGGCTGGTGCTCTACCGCTTGAGCCACAGCTCCACTTCTGGCTTTTTGGTAGTTAATTAGAGATAAGAGTCTCATGAATTTTCTTGCTCTGGCTGGCTTTGAACCTCAGTCCTAGATCTCAACCTCCTAGGATTACAGGCATGAGCCACGGATGCCTTTCTTTCACTTGATTGTTTCAAGACTCATAAATCTTCCCATTTTCTCATCTGGGGCGTTTAGTTATCCAATTCCGATCTAGTCCTTCTCCCAGTCATCACTTCCTGACCCTGCCCACCTGGAGCTGCTTTAAATCAAACCTGCTTGTAGGCCATGTTTGGTTTTCTTTATCTTTGGACCACACTGATAGTGTACCTTTGAGATTGCAAATTTGAGGGAGCTCAAATTTTCAGGAAAGAGAACCCTGCTCCCTGCTCAGCAGAGGGAAGATGTTGACTGTCTCTGCCCGCCCCCATGGGATGGATTATGCCTGCTGCCCCAGCATTCCATGGGAGTGTCAATCAAACCTCCAGTCCATGGTGGTGACTTCCCTCCTGGCTGATAAAACAATGATGCTCCTTACAGTCCATGTCTTAGCTTAGAGGAAATAGTTTAATGTCACATTTCACGAGCTTTCTGGCTAGATAGCAAGATCTTCCTAGCCATGACATTTATGACATCCTACTGTGTCAGGTGCTGTAATGGACACTCATAAGCCTGGTGTTTAACAATCAAGAACTTCTACTGTAGTAGGAAGAACTGTCATCTGTTTTTATTTTTGCGTATCCTGGGGCTTATGCTCAGGGCCTGGACACTGTGCCTGAGCTTCTTTTGCTCAAGGCCAGCACTCTACCACTTGAGCCACAGTGCCACTTCTGCATTTCTTTGTTTATGTAGTACTGAGGAATCGAACCCAGGACTTCATGCCCGCTAAACAAGCACTCTACCACTAAGCCACCTTCCCAGCCTGTCATCTTGGCTTCTTCTTTTCTACCCAGTATTGTGGCTTTGGCATCACCCTTACTATGATAACATCATTACCACCACCACCACCACCATCATCATCACCATCATCACCACCACCATATCACCACCACCATCACCATGCTGTCACCATTGCTACCACCACCATCATCACTGCCATATTGTCACCATCACCTCCAACATCCTCACTGTAGTACTATCTCAGTTATCATTGCCATCACCATAATCACTACTACCACCATCCTCAGTTACCATCATTGCCACCATAATCACCACCACCATGACCACAGCATCCTCAATGTGACCCTCAGTGCCATCTCCACTATCACCATCAGCACCCTGTACCATCCTTCGCCCACGCCCATCGCCCTCACCACCATCACCACCATTATCCTTGCTAGCCTTGTCATTGGTGGCTGTGTGTGCTCTGCAGGGAGCCAGCAGACACTTCTAAAATAACAGTATTAGGGCTATCTTTTTTTTTTTTTTTTCTGTTGGTTGTGGGGCTTGAACTCTGGGCCTGGGCCCTACACCTCAGCTCTTCAGCTCAAGATGAGGACTCTACCGCTTGATCCACAGCACCACCTTCAGTTTTCTGATGGCTAATTGGAGATAAGAGTCTCATGGACTTTCCTACCCTGGCTGGTTTTGAATCACGATCCTCAGATCTCAGCCTCTTAAGTAGCTAGGATTATGGGTGTGAGCCACTGGCTCCCGGCTAGGGCTATCTTTAATAACAGAATTAGTAGCACAAATAGAGTGCTAGGACCCAAACTACTGATTTGCCTTCCTTCGAGTCTCACCGCACCAGCACGCAGGCTCAGGCCCTTCACCTCTAGAAACACAGCGGGGTCACCTTGCTAGCATCCAGCTTGGAGCCTACCTGGCCAAGTTCCGAAAGCTGCCCCGCTGCCCCGCACCATGCCATATCTTGGCCAAGAGGGCCTCTATTTCCCGAGCAACCAGCTCTTGGCCTGTGCTCCTTAGCGGTCACAACACTCTGGGAGCCACAATCCACAGGATCCCACAGAACTTAGGCAGGGCCCCTTGGCACTGTTGTGGGCATTCCAGTCAAGGGGGGTGGCATCAATGAAGAGGAAGCACAGGGGAGGAGGAGCAGGAAGGGGGAAGGGGAGCAGGAGACAGGATGGGAAGAAAGGGCCGGTGGCGGTGGTGGCAGTGGATGGGTGCACACGGAAGGTGAGGCCTGCTCCTGGGGACCTTCCACACTCCAGGCACTGTCTCATGACATCACAAGTCTGTATGGAGCCATCGTCATCGTCCTATGAGAATCTGGGGTTTAAACCTGGTGTCTACCCTGCAGACCGCCAGCAAGCATCTGCACGCAGAAGCTCCTTCATGTTGAATGGGCTTTTTGTCCCGATCAAGCCACCAGGGGAGGGAAATCCTGCGAGTGGAATAAGCCTGGAATGCACCCACCCAGCCCCGCCCACCAGCTCAGGGCCAATGCACCCACCCAGCCCCGCCCACCAGCTCAGGGCCAATGCACCCACCCAGCCCCGCCCACCAGCTCAGGGCTGGCCCACTCATCTTCCTTCTGGTCTTAGGGCTCACTAGGTGCTACTCGGCATCTCCAGAGAGCAGGGGACACCTACCCTACCTGTCTCTAGCCTAGGAAAAGATCAAAACTATCACACAATCAGCAAGATGCTTTCTATGCATGGGTGTTGCTTTCATACCATTGTCAAGCTGAAAAATCACTTGGGGACTGTCTGTAATCAGCAGCAGAATGTGCCTTCTTAACAAAAATTGATTGTTACTATAAGGGTGATGTACTAAGGGGTTACAGTACATAAGTCAGGTAAGGAGTACATTTCTTTTTGGACAATGTCACCCCTCCCTTCTCTCTCCCAGTTTTTCCCTCCCATCCCCATCCACAAGTTCACTTTCAACAGTGTCTAGTTAGCACCACTGCCGAATTTGTTTAGCCTTTGTCCCCCTATTTCTGTGTTCCCCCCCCCCCCCTTACCCTCCCAAAGACAGATAAAGACAAAAAAGAAAAGAAAAACCCTTGTTTCCATTTCCCGGAGTTCATTTCGATAAATACTATCTTGTATAATCAGATGCACATAGGCGTTCCTCTCCTAAGAGCATCCTCCTGTCTCACTGTATGTGAACGCCTAGAACATTGCTTTCCATATATTTTCTCTCTCCCCCACCTTGCATGGCTGGAGAGGGCTGCAGAGGTGTTAGCTTCTGGCAAACTCATTTCACAGCTAGGCAAACGGAGGTGCAGACCGCCCCTCCTCCCCCTGGCAGCCCCCAGCCTCACTCACGTCCTGTCCTGTGTTGGTCCCACAGGCCCAGCGATGGCGGCGGCGGCGTTGGGGCCCCTGCTCCCTCCTGCAGAAGGCGTGCCGCCTGGCGCTCCCGTTGCAGCTCTTGCTCCTGCTCTTGCTGCTGCTCCTCTTCCTGCTCCCAGCTGGGAAGGAGCGGCGCAGCTGTGCCCTGGCCAACAACTTCGCCCGCTCCTTTGCGCTCATGTTACGCTACGACGGCCCCCCGCCCACCTAGCCCACTGGGGTGCCCAGGTGAGGTACCTTCTGCAGCCTCCAGTGCGCCCCAGGCTCCTTTTGGGGCTCCCTGGTGGGAAAACTGGAAACAGGACCGGCTAGAGAGCACAGATCCACCACGGCTGCGTGGATGTCTCCGGCAGGTTCCCAGGGCAGACTAACTTTTTATACAGCATTCATCGTCTTTGTCTATACTAAATGTATTCTGTGTGCTGGGCTCTGTGTTCAGGATCTCGTCGGCTTTGTATGCAGAGGCTCCTGTTCCATTTCATGTATGATGTCTGTTTGTAGATGAGAATTTTCCCAACTGTGTATCTCTCCAGGGGGTGTCATGGTGCTGTGTCAGCAGTCAGCCAGAACCCAGGGACCATAATCCACTTCTTCTTTGGCAACTTCTTACCCAGAAACCTTAGCGCAAAGCCAGATATTAGGGAAAGGTGTCTTCTGAGTTGTTAGCCTACAAAGCACACAGAGCCCAGGGACTCAGTTTACCAACAGTGAGTGCAGACCTGCCAGGCTAGTTCTGTAAAGCTCAAGAGATTTCATGCCAGGAGCAGACGCCGAAGTGACCATCACCAGAGGCCGACACAGTGCTGGACCCGCCCAGCCCACCAGCCGTGGAAGGCCTATGAAATGGTTTGGTCCATCATGGACAGACACCAGTGCTTCTCGTGAACTTGCCTGGGCTTTCTGTGTCCACTGGCCTGTGTGGATAATTTTATCTGGGCCACAAATGATGATGATATAAATATCCAGATGACCCTTGGCAGAAAAGCAGCTTCCGCACCCCGGCTAGTGAAGGTAGTTAGATTTGGGTCTATGTGTTCCTGCAAAAAAGGAATGATTTCTTATTTCCACTCAAAAGGGTGAAACCAACTCAGCATTGGCCCCGGAGAGCCCTGGGAGATCTGTGTCCCCTTGCCTGCTGGTGGCTTTTTTCTCCATCCATGTTGAACTTGAACTGAGGGCAGAGAGGGGTATCTGCGGGTCAGGGACCAGGGATGGATGCCAAGACAGAGGGGAAGGCCTGGGCCTGGGGGTGGAGCCTGTCTAAGGGAAGGCCGCCTTCCTGTACAGCCCTTAGGCCCACTGGCCAAGCATGCCCATACATACCTACCCTGCGTGGGACCATAGGGCTGGTAACTTCTGGTTAGGCAGGCCTCTAAGCTGGTGGGAAGTGTTTCTTCTTCTCCAAAGGATTCTGGGATAGCTCCTAAGAGCTTTAAAACTGGATGGTGTTTTTTGTAAACCGACAGTCTTTTTTTTTTTTTTTTTTTAAGCAAATACTTAATGCTCACTCTTTGCCCATGGATTTTTGTCTGTTGAACTTTGGGTCGAGCCCTGGGGGTACTGGGTCCTCAGGCCTTGTATCAGATCTGGAAATGTAGTGTTAGAGACAGAGGCACTTTAAACAGAGGGAACCTTGGGCCCTCAGAGGGTCCTGCTCAGTGAGGCCATGGCTCTCAAACGCACACCAATCCCCTCCAATCCTACAGTCAGGTGAGGCCAAGGAACAGCTCTCATGTTTGGCCCAGTGAGGAGGAAGAGCTGGCATCATGGCTCAGAAGAGCCGTGCCAGGGAGCTCCTGGCACTGATGGGCAAAGCACTTCTCTCTGGGTGCTGGGAACCCAACCTTACGTGGCTACTTTCCTGAAGGATCCAGGGCTGAGACCTTAGGCTAAGTGCTGGGCCTGGGTGTTCCTTTTCCACTCTCCTGCATCACCGGTCAGAAATATGGGGCTCAGAGAAGGGGTGTGACTCACCCATAGGCACACAGCAAGAGGCTGTTAGGCCAGATCCGAACCTGTGACCTGCTCAGCCCCTTCCCCAGAGCAAAGGCCAGGCTGAGACAGAGCATTTGTGTGAGGCCCTGGGTTCCACCCTCAGTGCTGAGAAAAAAGAAGGAAGTGTGTGCTGGAGGGGGGAGGGGAGAGCTGTTTATATGTCACCTGGTGTCACCTGAGTCGTGGGGTCGCATGTACAGAAGGTTGGGAGAATCGCAATAGTTGGGCTAGTTGGTAAGAACGTCTCTATATTTTTAAACTTTGTTACTGATGCCATAAAACGTGCTTGTTTGCATAGCTTTTTTTTATTTTAAAGAGAACTGGTGTTTTCATTACTTTGTGTCAATATAGTTATCATAGGATATGATAGGCCATTTGCAAGCGTTTTTTAAAACGTAATCGCTTTTGCTGAGAGTAGGAGCAGACGGCTGCTGTGTCGCTAACACTTCCAGCAGGAGCCATGGAGAGGCCGCAGAAGCCCTCGGACGGGGTGTGCCGTGAAACCTGTGTGTCGCCCCCTTCTAGAGAGAGAGGGTGCCTAGAGTATCCTGACGTGTGTGTGTGTGTGTGTGTGTGTGTGTGTGTGTGTGTGTGTGTGTGTGTGTGTGTGTAGTGAACAAGAGAATGGGGGAATGGAGACCCCACCAGATAACCATTGGTTACCCCCTTGTGGTCCTCCCTTGTCCTTTCCTTCCTATCTCCAGAGCATGACGGCCCCCAGCATGTACTGATGCGGTAAGGATGGGCGGAGGGTGGAGCAGGCAGCAAGTGAGGTCAGGAGACCCCTGTAGGCGCCCCGTGGAGGGGCCGAGGTCTCTGGTCATGAGTGGCACAGTTGTGCATCTCCAGTGTGCCCAGCTTGGGCAAGAGCTTCAGCAGGGTTTACAGGGTTATATTAAAAAGCCAGAGGTATTTCTGGGACACCAACACCCTCCTGGGCGTGGAGGACGTGGGAGCTGGGCAGTGTTATCCACTTCTGTCTCTGGGGCTCTGTTCACCTTAGCCTTCTGGCAGGAAGCTGGGCCCTCGATCAGTCCTCTAGATCTGGAGAATTCTGCTGCTCCTTTGGGCGTGAAGATGCAGACGCCTGCGTTGCAGGGGTGTGTGGGAGTGAGAGGGGACAGGAGGTGGCACTTCTTCCTCTCCTGGCTTAATGGGAAGGTGAGGCTCTGTAGACCTGCTTCATACCCCAGACGGCCCAGCTGGAGAGGGCAGACAGGGACATAGGACAGAAGGCATCGGAGGCCAGAGATGGCGACAAACTCAGTGCTACTGACCCTGCATTGAAAAGTCATGATGGTGCTGTTTTGTGTTATGTGTACCTAGCACTATTTAAGAAAGGTGGAGGGAATGAGACACAGAGACAGAGAGACAGAAAGGGAGACAGAGGCATGGAGACAATATCGGATCAAACCCAATTTTCAGCTTGGTGCTAGAGGCTCACGCCTGTAATCCTAGCTACTCAGGAGGCTGAGGTCTGAGAATCATGGTTCGAAGCCAGCCCAGTCAGGAAAGTCCATGAGAAGGGAGGGCACAATTGGTACCCTGGGAATGTGGCTCGTGGCTCTGGGCTAGGGAGAGGCAGAGGTCACCAGTGGTGGTCTTTAGAGAAGGGAAAAAATATATATACATACATATATATATATATATATATACACACACATCTATACCCATATACATCTATACCCATATACATCTATACACCTATACATGTATATATATATATATACACATATATCCACCAGCCATTTGTGTGCCTCTGCCTCTTTCCCCCTCTGTTGAGCAGCAATGCTCTGGGTCTCTATTCTAGGCTTTGTGCTGGAAGATTATGGGTAACTAAGATTGAGGTCCTGCCTTCAAGGAGCTCCCAGTCCCTCACAAGATACTGAACCAGACATAGGCCATCGCCTTTGACTTTGCTGTGTGCCCTCCCAGAGATGAGGCAGGAGAGATGGTGGGGCAGGGCCGGGCAGGCAGGAGGGTGGTACCCTACATCTGGAAGGTTCCCATGGTTACCAGGTAGAGAGAGGAGATGGATAAAGGAGGTCAGGACACTGGACAGCTCAGGGAGAGGACTTGGCAAAACAGGAGGAGGAAGCAGATTGGCTGGGCCTGCCAGGGAGTAGAGGTGGATCCCTGGGCTTTGCTGGATCTCAGAGCACAGGCGTGGCAGGAAGTCCAAGGCTGAGGGCTACAGTACACTACCCCATTCATTGTTACTTCTATTCCCAGACAGTATTAGTCCATACCCAAGGGAAAACCTTGTATCTGGAAATGGCAAGCTAGGATTTCTTGGAATGGTAGTGTACACTCTGGTGAGCCGTTTGTCTGCAGATTAAGGTTGTCTGTTGCCCCCTCTCACCTCCTGCCTCTGGTTATTCCACAAAGCAAGGTAGCTCAGGGCCCAAGAGAGGCTGTCCTAGCAGGCACTGGGCCAAGGCCCCTCTCTGGGGATACCAGTGCCTTCCCTTGAAGCCAGCTTTCAGAGATCTTCTCACTGGCACACTCTGATAGTGAGCCTCTTCACTTACTCGGTCCAGCAGGGATCCCCTGTTCCTCACCCCAATCTGATTTTCCCCAGTCCAGACCAGCATAGGAGGAGAAAAGTAGGCCACTACTTCGACTACTGCAGCCATGGCAGACACAAGTAGTTGAGCACTGAGACTTTCTCCTCCCGCTCTCCAACTCTTGTCCCCAAGGAAGACTCTTAATTCTGGACTCTTTTTTTCCTTTTCCTTTCTTTTTTCTTTCCTTTCTTTATTTCCTTCCCTTCCCTTTCTTTCTCTTCCTGTTCCCTCCTTCCTTCCCTTCCTCCTTTTCTGTCTTCCTGTCTTTCTCTTTCTTTCACTTTATGTCAAAATTAGGACATTAACAATTGAAATCACCTTTTCTTAGTCTGGTACTTGGGTGAGATAAGCAGGAAACCTCTATCACCCCCTAGACGGAGCCCACAAGCTCCTCCCACAGAGGGCTACAACTAAAGGATTAAGACCAGCCCGCATTTCTCCAACTCCAGCTCACAAGAGGAATATCTTCTGTCTTCCAAATAAGATACACATTGGAATTTATTTTCAAAAAGACATTTAAAAACAAAAGCTTCTGGTATAAAAGCACATTTTTCAGCCAGACTCATCACGTGCGCGTGCGCGCGCGCACACACACACACACACACACACACACACACACACAGAGCACCTGCCTGCCTTTTTGGTTGTCATGGCAACATCAAAGCTATTTACACAGTGGTACCCAACCATTCATCCAGACAGAAGATAAGTTGCAGAAAGGAGCCTCAGTTTCCTCAAAGGATCCTTGGCTGTCTTTCTGGCATGCTCAGCAACAAGGACACCTGGCCAGTCTCCTCCTGCAACTCCATGAAGTGAGGAACAAAGGCCTACAGCTCCTCTCCCCACTCTGATGAAAAGACAGGTAAGAGCATGTATTGAGGACTTGCAGTATGCCTGCCACCTAACCTGTGCTGGGAGTCCTGGCTTTGTGTTCAGATGCTGACACCAGACACAGAGAGGGAGAGCTGCCTGCCTACAAGCAAGCAGCTGGTAAGCAAGCGGTCAGCTTGGGAGTCGAACCCAGGCACGATAGGCTCCCGGCCCAATGTTCTTTCTCGCATGGTAGGGAACTTTTCACTCCAGTCACAATAGTTTTTCCCCTGTAGGCCCCTGATTAGCCTGTTGGGGAGAAGGCCTTTCCTGATCACGGCTCCCGGCTTCTTCCTAGGCCCATGCCTGCTAGGGAACTCTCTAGTTCACACTGCCACCATCAGGAACTGGAAGTGCCAAGGGGTAGAGGTAGGGCTGATGATTGTCTGCACCTGGAGAAGGCACAGGCCAGGGCTCACTGGGCCAGGGGAAGGCGCAGCCTACTTCTCACTGCCCATTGAGCGGGCCCAGCTCCTTGGGAGAAAGGCAGGATACAGAGTAGGGAGGTGGAGGAGGAAAAGAGGAAGAAATGGAGGAGGAGGGAGAGGAGGAGGAGGGAGAGGAGGAGGAGGAGAAAGGAGGAGGAGGAGGAAGGAGGAGGAGGAGGACAGAGAAAGATATGTGTGAGTTGTATGTAGGGTCTATACAGCCCCCTCCCCCACCTCTCCCCAAGAAGCACAGCTGGGCAGTGTGGACTCCTAGTCCCAGCTCAAAACAGCAATACCCCCTGTGCCTGGTCTGTGGGAGATCTGGGCCCAGATGATTCCCCTGAGCTCCAGTACTTGACAGGTCTTGTAGGAGCAACTTCTGGTCCTGGCTGACACTCTCTAGTGACAGGGAAGGTCTCTTAATCCTATGGAGGAAACTCTTCCGGCTGCCTTAGAAATGGTGTTCCTTCTCTCCCAGGAGAGTGATGACCTGGTTATGGAGGAAAGTGTGTCTATTTGCCTGGATCAAGCGACACCTTAGAGATTAGAACTCCACACCTCTTGGGGGAGAGGGGTGGTGAGACCCTTGCCAGGATGCTTAGAACCTGGGGGCTCGGACCTAACGAATTTTAAGAGTCAATAGATTTATACTTGGGAGATACAGAGGGAGCAGGTGGTTCCAACTGGAGGAAGCAGGCCACCGTGGTGGGGAACATCACTGGGGCCGTATCTGGCCCTGGCCCTTTATTATTTTCTTTTCTCTGCTTCCTGGCCACCATGAGGTAAGCCACTCTGCCACGTCCTCCCACTGTGACGGACTGATGCTCCGGAAGTGAGAGCCCCAATCAATCTCTCCCCCGTGCCTTCCTCAGATCTTTTGGTCCTAGCTGTGCAAAAGTAACTAGCACGAGGACTCAGCTCTGTGCCCCTACCTCAGGCAGTAGAAGCTTCCAGAATGGATGCTTTCCTCTCCATGTCAAGGCCAAGGCCAGCCCTCTCCTTCCACAGCACTCATCCCCAATCTCCCCTTCTGGACTGATTACTGTCATCAGCCTTCTCTCTTGACAAAAGCTGCCAGGCCTGGGAGTCTGGGCCTCTCAGAAGCACCCCTCCCACCCCCCCCCCCCCCCCCCGAGAGGCACTAGCCCAGTTCCCACATTACTGCTCTGAACCAGTCTACATGGGCAGGTTTGCCCTGTTTTCTTAAGACCTGGCCACACTAACCTGATAATGGACCAATTTGTAGAACTGGTGCAGTGTGGTTTATTCAGGATGGAGCAGGTGGTGATGTGGAATGTGTGTATGTGTGTGTGTGTGTGTGTGTGTATTTGTATGCACGTGTGTATAAATGCTGAGTAGTGGGTTTTGGTGTCCAAAATAAATGAATTCCATTGTTGAAAATGTTCAATTATGTAAACAGCACAGAGGGACCCCCCCATACCCTCTTGTCATATTTGTAATTTTTTAAAAACATGCATTTGCAATAAATTAAGCTTTCTGGGAAAGCAAGCAGTATTGGAGCCAAATGAATGTCTTGGAACACATGTGTGTTATCTCAGTTCATATCAAGTGCAAAAGAAACTGAGAGCCTCCCATCTCCCGGCCATGGGGAAGGGCACTGGGCCCTCGTGGCTTCTCAGCGAATGTATGTTCAAGTCACCAGGGCTTCTTTCTCCTCCTGTTCAAGTTGCAAGTATCAGTGTTCTAAGAAATAATTCGATGAAGACATATCTGAATTATGTTTGAAATAAAAATCTATTTTGGTCTATGAAATACTGTGTAGCTTGGAAATTCTTTTTTTTTTTTTTTTTGTAAACCTGGGGAGAGGCTATGGAGAGAGAGAGACAGACAGACAGACAGAGCACACCTGGAGTGATGGCTGACTTAATTTTACATTCTCATTTCCAGACAGGCATGGGTCTTCATTTGGGCAGAGGCAGAATTCATGGAGCCGGGGTGAACACTGGTGACCTCAGAACATCCCTAGATGATTCCAGTCGCTGTCCCCATGGGGGGGAGGAAGAGAACTTTGAAAATTCCCAAATGCACACTTGCACATTGCGGGGGGGGGGGGAACTCAAGGGCAAACAAGTCTGGGTACTGTCAAGGTGAGGTAGCCTTTGCAGCCTCTTCTCTGCCTTTCTGCCAACCCCTAGATCAAAGCCGACTATGATGGTGCTTGAACCATCATTTCTTGGGATCAGGATCTGCTTTTCCAGCCCACAGTGCTCCAAACAGACTGACAAGGGGAGGAAGAAGGTTCTCAGAGGCATTCATAGGTGACGCTGTGCCACTCTGGGCAAGATAGCAAAAACCAGCAGAACTTCCCAAGTTCTCTTCTGACACGTGCTGTTTTTGTTGTTGTTACTGTTGACAGTCCTGGGGCTTGAACTCATGGTTTGGGCGCTCTCTCTGAGCTTTTTTGCTCAAGGCTAACACTTCACCACTTGAGCCACAGCTTCACTTCTGATTTTTTGGTAGTTCAGGGGAGATAAGAGTTTCAGGGACTTTCCTGGCCAGGCTGGCTTCAAACTGCAAACCTCAGATCTCAGCTTTCTGAGTATCTAGGTGTGAGCCCGGGTCACCTTTAAGCAGATTCAGCTCATATAACAACAATATGCCACGTGCCACTTCCGTTAGTGACACCCAGGGTTTGTGTGTACTCCTACAACAAAGACACCCAAGTGTGGGTCAGAAGTGTTCCACTCAGGCCGCTGGATTCCGGCTCTCTCATTTTAATTTACTGCCTTTTAGGCTCCCAACTTACTGTAAAAGTAACATTAA